TTTAACGAAACGATAACGATTGCCGGGCGCTCCAACGAACCGGAGGACGATCGGTTGGTCGCTGGCCGCGCCCTCTCGTACCAGATTATGGGCTTAATTACTGCCGTAAATTGTAGCTAATTGAAATGTTCAGCTTTCTAGCTAATCACCTTGGCGAACTGATTATACGTTTGGGCCATATGGGAAACGTCAAAACGATAGGAATCGAGTGAATTATTGATCGTCAATAATTATGTTCAGAGTAATTGTAGCCCTCTAGGATAAGTGAAGTGGGTTGAGAAGGTAAAATTCTTCTGAAATGTCGTTTTAAGCGTCATTATACAAGTTATAAACATTCTCAGCTTAACACTAACCCTAATAGAATCAGTTTGTAGCAAAACGCCCCAAGTACTCTATGTAATTAGTTAGATGGTGAATGGCGAGCGGTATATTGATGGTGTTTATTTACTTGGAGCTGCTATCTAAAATCTGTGGAAGGGTCTATTTGCAAGAGAGAGAAACAAACTTTTAAGGTGTACTAAATTATATTTTATTATACATAAAACCAAAAATTTTTAATCAGCCAAATATCTTCCAATTCAGATAGCCTCATCTATTTCTATAAATTCAATTACTCCACATCCGTTCTAAAATTGTTATTATTACGGACCACTGAATAAGAAACGCCCTATTCCTACTATTCCTAATAACTTATAAGTTAACTCATTTCAACACTTCCGATTCATTCCTAATAAACTACCCTTCACCAATTATATAAATTCTTTAAAATTTCTAAGTCCTTTACTGACTGCTTATGAAAAACCCAAAATAATCACCTATTTATTTATTAATATAGGTATGACTAACTTATTCTTATAAAACTTTACAATAATTTCTACATGAAATTTAAAATCCCTAATTCAAAATTCATTTCATGAACAACAACTTTCCAATATTTTAAGACAATTCTATTTCATGAACATCAAGTTTCTTTTCAAAATTTCCTATTCCATTTAATAGTGTTGATTTAATCAGAACAATTCTATTATAAGTTTCCTTTAACAACTTTTCAAGATTTTAAGACAATTTCTATTTCATGAACATCGAAATTTCCTATTCCATTTATTTAGAACGATTACTATTTTTCCATCCTGGCTAACATACAAAATTATTTAATTTCTTATTAGTTCGTTACTATAGCCCTTAATCTTCAATTGGACAATCCAGTTCAAACTTCTTTAATAATCCCTACTCAAATCGAAACTATTTATGTTATGTTAAATGCATTATAAATTCCCTTCATATTGTTGGTGCAAAATTAAATTAGAATGTCATTATATCTGAAGGCATTTAAAGTTATGCAATAATGTTCCATTTATAAAACACTCGTGTTATTAATATTTATGCAATAAAGTTCCACACTTAATTGAAAGTCAAAAGTTTTTCTAGTAACAATCACTCAAGTTTATAAAGTCAGAAGTATTTCTAGTAAAATCACTCAAGTTTTTAGGCATTGAAAGTTATTTGTTAATTCACTTCTTATCATTCAGAATCATTGATATAAGTCAGAAGTTTTACTAGTCAAAATCACTCAAGTTTTTAGGCATTAAAATTCAAAGTTTAATCACACAAACTCATGTTCATCATTTATATTCAAAAATAAATCTTGTCAGCATAGAATACCTACTTACATTTTGTCCATAAAACACAAAACTAATCTAATTTAATTCTTTTGATTAGGTACTTAGAGCCCGCACATAAGTTTTGAACGAATTTCAAATGTTATTTCTTAGACGATTTTCCGTACTTTTTCTAAGTTAAATTAAACTCGTTTTCCGAGGCAGCTTCGCGACTTTTACTCAGACTGACTCATTGGTACTGTAGACTTTAACACAAACTGGACAGGACTGCGAACTCATCTCTCAACTGACAACTGCCTTCCACTTCTAAAACCGCGGTATTTATAATAAATCGATGCCCCCGCAAAGTATTATTAATTATCCTCCAAATCGTCAATAGGCGGTCGTTTGCCTAGCAATCCGACAATTCCATTGGCCGACCTAAAATGATGCAATTTCCTTGAAATTTTTAAGATTCTTAGTTTAAAAAAATCGAATAATTATGTCGCAATATCCTAATTTATCGAGGTCAATATATTTTGTTGGCTCAAGAATGCTGTTCCTTCGTAGCTCAATCGGTCTAAATATAATTAATTAAAACAATGCTTACCGGTCTCGTTGCACTTAATTTGTTAACTTCATTTTTTTTACCCAAGGGAAAGATATTTGGAATAGCTAGGAAGAGGAAAAAGGATGCGTAGAGGACGAGTAAATTTCTTCTCAAGATCGTGAGCCGATAGAAGTTTGTCACAACTTTTAAAAATACTTTAATTTCCCGAAAATTGCCGACCCGAAAAATATCAATTATATTTTTGCATTAGCTTTCCGTCGCTAATATTTTATTACTGGTCTAAATCTTTTTGGTACCCACAAATTTTTCAGCAGGCGGCGTTGCCAAGCATTTTTACCTAAATTGAAAAACCCTGGCGCAAACATACCCCCGACCCTGAAAAATCCGTTTTTTAGCAAACTCGAGTTACCCCAAAAAAATCAAAATTAGGAAAAAAAAAACAAAAAAAAATCTTTATCAGAATTGCCGATCAAACATCGAAGGACCATAAGTTATATACAAAAAAAATTACTGCCGTAAGGGCGGCTACAAATCAGAGTAACTACTTATAAAATTTAAACCTTATATGTGACCTAAATTTTGCATCCGTAAATGCCACCAATATGTCACCCCGATATCCTAAACTAAACCAAAAAAAAAAACCCAAACACTATAATCTTATATCTTATACCTACTTAACGAACTATTACCTAAAATTATTGGGTTGGCAAAGGGCATATCTTTACCACCGGACGCGTAAAGGTACCCTTGCTGTGGTGACTTTGACTTTGACTTAGCACCACAGTGCCACTATAGGCAGATTTGGTTGTGTGAGTTTTAAAGGGTTAAGTCTCAAATGTAGCCATTTTTCTTCGTGTGCCGTGTCTGTAAAAGGCCAAAGTATTTTGGTAAGTTTTCATTTTCTGCAATTCTTCTTTTGGATAAGTTCTACAATGTTAAAGTTCTTTTAGAATACTTCTTTACTATATTTGCTATTTGCTTACCATGTGCGAAAATCTTGTTCTTTTTTTTTTAGGCCTTTTTCCTTTAGTCTCTCTTCACTTTCATTCTTTTCCTTATTGAAGGTCTTGTTTTCCTCCGATACACGAGTACCGGTTGCCCATCAACCCCTCGTACTCCAGAGGTACCCTGTGAACCACTCCAGTCCGCCTTACTGCCCCCCTCCTAGTTGCTAGAACATCCCTAACCACCAAGAAGATTTGGGGAGGACCCTCGATCTTTACTCCACGTCAGGTAGATTCCTGGGTCGCTGTAAGACTTGCAAACAGCAAACAATCAAGAAACGCCCTGTAAGTTAGTTGGGTCACATGTGTGTGTTGTCCTGGGTCCTGAAATCAGATGGTTACACTCCAGCTGATTGGTAGTGAAGCTCTGGGATCAAAAGAAATACTCACTCCATAATTATTACCATCATAAGTATTGTTCAGCGTTCAGCATACCAAGGGTTTTTAACAATCAGGACAATGTATGACCAGATAGAGGCCTAAATTACCAATAAAAAACTTTGGTGTTTTGTTTTCAATTATAGGAGTTATTACCTTATTATCCATTCTTGTATGTTCTTATTATAAGTTTTAGGCTTAACCTAAAATAGTAAAGGTACTGTAAACCGGAAAAATAGGCCTATTTCTAGGGTAAGCAACATTTTTGATTGTGTCTTGAATTTATTTTAAATCTAAGGTTATCTCTAATATTCAACATATAATAAAATTATGCCAAAATACCTTTTTTTTTATTAAACTGATAAACATCATTGTTAAATCCTGAACGAAGCGAATCAAGCAAGCAAGATAAACAAAACCATATAATTTGATATTCAATGATTTTCTTCTATTTTCCCTTCACAGCTAATTTTTGACATTTGTAATTTTCAGTTCTTTTCAGATTGCGGTGCGATCACGAGTTCTCCAATCCTACGGGATTTCAGTTTAAGATGATCGCCTTTGAACCTTCCTTTCTTTGGTGTTGATTTGATTCTTTGTATGCTATAGGCTGTCTCCTGTTTTGAAATATCTTCTGTTAAGAAACCGACTTACTGCAGGGTTGAAAACAGGTGGCGCCTTTATTTAGACCCACCCCACTCACCGAAATTTCTGTGGGCTAGTCGGAGCTTTCCTATAAGTCGGATTTCTTCTTTAGACCACCTTCAAAAGTCATATCCATCCCTTCACTCTTTTCTCCCTTAGATTCCCCCTGTCACTTCAAGACTCGTAACAAATTGGCGCCCCACGTTGGGCGCCAATTGTATCAAGAATGATGTTTGAATGTACTGACAATTGTTCATAAAAGTGACATTCACCGAAGTGTCAAGGACACGGACATGGCCTTATCTCAGCCGATGATACGTCGTTACCGGAACAGTCAGCAGTTGAAGCAGAACAACGCGTAAACTAATGTTTACACGAAATGGATATTAAACCCCATGCAGCCCATGGTATCGGTACCCATTTTAGTTCTTCTCTCCTCAGGGTCTCCTTACCCAAAGGAGCAGTAGCTATACTTCTCTTCAGTGTCACCTTACCCCAGAAAATCTTGGAGCAATCCTCTTTAGGGTTGCCTTACCCCAGATAGTCTTGCCCTTCAACTCTATACGTGCGGGAACCAGTTGCATCTCCGTATATGGGAGCCCCGAACGTGAGAATCATGTGGCGCACCTAGGTAGTGCCCTTTTGATGATGTACCCACTACCAGACAATATACGTGAAGCTCCTTTTTGTGATTGTGTGTTCTCCTCAAGACCCCTAACCTCAGGTCTTACCTACACTATATATTTTCTACTTTTAATTGCTCCTAAACTATTTTACTAATTTCGATTTTTTTTTTCCTTTCAGGTTGTCATCAGACATTCGTGAGTCGGCCTGGAGGTCCTATGAACGGCACTTTCGCAGGTCCCGAGTTCTCGAACCCCCGCGCCCTCACCATCAGCTGCGTCTACACGTTCCTCGGGGGTCCGGGCCAACGCGTCCAGATCACGTTCGATTCGTTTCGGTTGAGGGGCACACCGCCAGAGTAAGTTGACTCGTTAAATCTAAACATTTTCGAGATTATTATTATGGTGTGTAGGAGTTGTTTCTTTGTTCGTTTTATGATAAATGTTTTACGAATCAGATGTGAAAGAATCTTTTATATTTATATATAACAACTAAGAGATCAATATTGCCTAGCAAAATTTTATGAAGTCAACATAGATCTTACGCGTCTGGTCCGTTGACTATTTTATGGCTTTGTTATAAATAATTAATATATGTATTGGTTTTTGTTTGGATGATTTTTGAATGGATTTTGTTTCCACATTTTCCATTGAAATCCGGATAATTCGATAAAGTATAAATGAAAATTGGCTTGAACAAATAAAAACAAATATAATTCAGGGAGAAACATTACACCCTGAGCGATAAATTTCCAACACACCTACTCGATGTTATTTAAACAATAAATTTATTAATAATAAACAAAACAGGATAGCAAATGATTTCCAAATATACTGACACATAAATTTATAATCTTATCACTGCTACATACATATCTCTTGGCTTCTAATTCCATCTTGAGCCACCACAATTATTTCAGAAACGGAAATCTCGTTTACTTTAATCAGCTTCTCAAACATGCAAATGAATTTAGCAAAAGATAATTGCGACTTCGTAGAATGAAATATGTGACTGCAACCTGTACAATGTTGACGTATTTCAAGATTCTTTACTTCAATATAAGAGCCCATCGATTATGTAATGCAACATTCACATTACATTAATAAATACTGCTTTTCTTCCATAATTCCGAAACTATTTGAAACAAGTACTCTGACAACTCTGTAGCTATTACAATTTGCATACAAAATTTGCAGGGCGTTTTAACAAGGTCCTATATCATACACAGTTCTGAGAATTTCGGGTATGTTCAATTAGGCAAACTAACTAGACTTAATAGACCATTCGCTGTTAGAGTTTAGGGTGAACGTGCACAAACACAAAATGTCTCTATGACCCATTAGATCGGCTTTGTATAATTTGTTGTTTATAGGTAATCTTGCAAGCCAATGAATGTCATGAGATATTTCCTCAAACAAATTCTTTATGGAAAAATGCCATGCTCTATTTTAAACTAGTCTTTTACCGCAAGTGCTTTTTTTTATACCCTCAAAACGAAATGGCACGCAACTAACTCTATAATACTAGATGATGATGGGAACCTTACGTCATCGCAATGAATTGCTCTCATTAAACTTGAAGGACCCCGGCAGCAGCAACCTGATCCTTAAAACAGTGTAATTACCCTTTCTGCTACTAAATGAGAGATGTAGAAAGGTATTTTCCGGTAAAATGAGAAATTTTTCTCGCTTGTAATTCGGCTGATGTTAGTTTACAATAGATATTGTTGTTACTATGCTGTAAATAAAATTTCTTTCAACGTCAAACTACCAAAAAAAATCTAAGTCAGTAATTAGAGAAGTTTTCAGACCAGATTGAAACAACGGTTCGTTAAAGGACTAAAAGAGCTAATCGCACAGAGCCGTTTAAAATCACTTCAGCTTGTTTAATGCAAAGAGGCCTTATGCAACCCATTAATGTTGGCACCGTAATAGCGATGGACTGTTTTTAGGGTGGCAATGTTGTCGACGATTTATCGAACATTTCACAACGATAAGCTTGGCAAACTCACCGAGAACTTGTCGTATGTCATTGCCGGTGACTATTGTCGATTACGAGAGCGATAAAGCATTTCAACGAGTTTGGGATCATCAACAGGAAGCTGTTACAAAAATAATAAGCCATTTGCTTCCTCCCTGTTTTATTAGCAGTTTAAGTTAGATTATTGTAATTTAACATCAACAAGCATCTTAAGTTGGAATATTTCTTAATACTTCTGGGATGTGATGATCTATTCGCAATTAATGAATCACCAAGGGCGAGTAGGTTGAACTCTTGTTTGGAAAGATGTAAGATCTAGTTGTTGGACAACAAACTGCAGAGATGGGGTTGAACGACGAAATGTTATCCCTAGGAAAATGAGTCCGCAAGATGGAAGTTTTCTAAATTTCTGGATGCCTCAAAGATTCCTGGACCGAATGGTCTTAAAGGTTGTCTTAAAGGCTGTTGCACATCTCTAATAGAACCTCTGAAGCATATTTTCGATATTGGCATTTTTCCCAGAAGTTGGAAAACCTCAACATATTTCTCTAACCAGAAAACAACATTCACTGATGTGAATATTTATAGAGGCGAACATTTCAAGGGCCTTTGATAGTGTGTACCATAGGTTGTTACTAAAAAAACTCTCTGATATGGGATTCTTAACATTTACAAAATCGTTGAAAGATGGTGTGTACGGTGCAGTATCCCACGTATTCATAGTTCCATCCAGGGTACCTTAGGGACTGCACATCGGACCGATTCTGCTCGTTTTTTTCATAAATGACGTGATCCAATGCATCCAATTATACCTCTGCTTACTATAAGCTGACGACTTGAAGTTTTTCACAGTTGTGGACGGGCACTTTACCTCTCTCCAGTTAGATTTGGACAGGTTGGTGCAACTAAAATCTCAAACTCAATGTTACTAAGTGCAAACACATGATTTCCGTTCCACACTAGAATACTCAATTTGGACTCCAAGTTATAATCTATTCACAATCGAAAGTCCAAAGGTAAAGGTAGATTTATCACGTTTCAGTTGGTAGTTGATACGGATTTTATTTTATTTATTATCTGTATAAGTTGGTAACAATTTGATATGTCTTTGGGAGGTTACGCATGTGTCATATTTTGATGACATACTGAAAAATAGCAGAGCAGGACTAAAGCATATTTTTATATTTTGAACAAAAAATATTTGATTGACGAAATTCTCAGTAGATGTAACAAAACGGCCTAAAAATCCTTTTTTTTTGCTTCGTAATACAATTAATTGGCTGTTTTAACTCAGCTAGATTAAGTCGCTAAATTTCTGACGAAACCGTGTCAAGAGCCAAGAGTTATCAGTCGGTTTCCGAAAGAGTGTGATGACTGTGTCTTGAAATACGACTTTTGACCCCTGGTTCCTTGAAAAAATCGCAAGTTGTGCGACCGACAGGACTTCGAAAAGCGTCATCAATATAAATAGGCCTGTGAGCCTCCTAGATTCATTCACTTCTGTAACGAAGTTCTGGTGTTTAGTGTTGACGTCTCTCTACGGACTCTCTTTCTGAGACCTCAGATTATATTTCAATTTCAAGTATTTTAAATTTATTCATCATGATTGTTGTTGTCTGTCTATTATTTATTTTCTCCCCTGTGTAAAGAACAAAACCGTTGGGTTAGCTTCACAACTCAAATCTCTTTTCCAACATGTATCTTACCCTGAATAACAAGGCCGTTTTGTCATTCCCTTGTCGAGGACGCCCGTGCCTTTTTTACCCACTAAGAAATATAACCTAGTCTTTATTTTCTGTATCTTTTAATCCTTAATTTCTCATGTAACTTGTACCATCAAGGAACACCGTATACAGGACGCTTATTAATTTTACTCCCTAACATTCTAAAAGCTCTGTATGTAATTTCTTTCATTTCATTTCAGTATAACTTGTTAATAACTTACTGTATATTCTTTGCTTTTCTTTCATTTCCTTACCGAGTTTCACCAGTTGTTCAATAAACCATTTTTAGAGTTTAGTAATAAAAACTGATTCTTTTATTTCCTTTGGAAAACCCCGAGCTAGCATTCCAGCTAACTGCGTACAGCTCAGGTAGCGAGAACCCACACTGAAAGAGGCGATCTAATCAGATTACTAAAAAGTATCCGTTCAAAGTTTCAAACCTAGTTTTCAGTGGGACTTTGAACAAAGTCCCTGGTGGCAGGCTACCGCAGTACAAAAAAGGCCGTTACCAGTACCCAATCGTCATAATCAGGTGGCGGTGGTAACATAGACATGGCCATAAAGTTCTTAGATTACCTCCATACCATTGTCAATATAATTCTATTGAGATGGCATGTGGGTTTACTAAGAACTTTTACAACAAACCCATAAACGCGGAGGCTTCGTCGATAAACAGAGTTGTTTTTCGATGAAGTTTATGAAAAAATGCCAAAATACTCCAGACATGTGGCAAAGGCAAAATTCTGTAAGGCATTGTGAAACTTTGATACACGAGGACTGGGAGAAATTATTGGGAAACACTAGCTTCGAAAACGTTCCTCCTATCATCATTCGCTTCAATAAGTCGGATTCTGATTCCGAAAACTTGATAGTTTAATTCTTGATTCTGATGAAGAAATTATGGAAGTTGAGAATAGTTGAAGCTAAAATTTGACCTCAGGCTCGAATAAGATCATCACCATCGTCATTCAGCGTTCACTGTAAGACACCTCAAGGTGTTTCTATTTTTCTCTATTTTTGTGATGTTGCAATCTAGTTTGTCGAAATCCTCCTGATATTGTTTGACCAGCGAGTGGAAGGTCAGTCAGGGCTGCGTTTGTCACTTCTAGGCCGCTACTCAGGGATTCATCAAGCCAAGTAGCATGAATTTTTTCTTAAATACGTGACTTGACTTGAAAACTCAAGCTTTTGAAAATTTAATATTTGACTTGACTTGATTTTTGGTCTGAACTACTTGACTTGATATCAAGTAAAATCAAATTACTTGATAGCGATCTGTGAAGCGTTAAAATAGGGGATTCACCCAGGTTAAATTGGGGATTCACCGAGGTTACAGCCAGGCCCGTTCCTGGGGGGTCAAGCGCCTACGTGCAGGATTTTTTATTCCGCCCTTTAGGCAGGGGCGTACCAAAGCACATCCTATTGGGGGGTTGCAACCCAAATTTTCCAACTTTGTATTAACTTAATAACCATACCCATTACATACTCCTAACTCCTAGTTCAATAAACTAAAAAGAATTGAAATACATATTAGGGGGGGGGTCAGTTGTACAAGGGAAAGCCCGCCACCGGAGGCGAAATTTTTTTCGGAGTGCCACGCCCAAAAAGAGAATTTTAAAGTGTTTCCGATAGGTAAATTCGGGCAGCACTAGAGCAACCTTCGTGCAATTTTTGTGTTCGATTGGGACAACTCGAGTTACCTTTTGTGTTCGATTGGGGAACTGGGTCAATCAGTTTTGAACAGAACAGAGACTAAACTGAAAGTAAATAACTGTCAAATACCTACATATTTTTTTTACTACCTTACTAAAAAGCATCATTTTGGACCCCTAAACCATGGAGCAAAGTGGTTCTTTTTGTCCGTTTGTCGCGGTCGAGTGCTATTTTTTTTTTTAAGTATTTTTTCAAGAAAAATCAAGTAGTTAGCTTGAAAAACTTGGTTTTCAAGTTACTTGATGTATAACTACTTGACTCGACTTGAATTTTAAAAACAAATACTTGACTTGATCTTGACTGATATCAAGTCAAGTCAAGTAGCTTGAAAATCAAGTCAAGTCGTGAATCTCTGCCGCTACTCGAGAATTCTTTCGGTCCATCTACCATCTGTCAGTTGTCCGACATGTCCTGCCCATATCTATTTGAGCTTTGAGATATACAGCTGTATGCAACATCCTCTTTTAACTTAAAAGCGCTTTTTAAAACTGATCACTTTTAAGATTCTGTATTCTAAGCCATACAAATTTTTAAAGGTACCAGTTTTTAAAAGCGCTTTTAAGTTTAAGGATGATGTTGCATACAGCGAATACTCTTTAACATCGAATACTTTTGACCTTATACAAAACTTATTCAATAGTTTCTCCTTTCCACCATTTTTTTGCTATTTTTTAAAATATTCATGTACAGGGTGTTTCCTTATATTTTTATTCCTACCTACAGCTTTAGCTATACGAGGTGGAAAAAAACTTTAAATATAAAAGTTGTAGGGTTTTATGTCTATTAGCTTTTGCGAATGTCAAAACGAGCAAATGACAGGTGCCAACTGTCACAATGACAAACACTTGCATTTTTCAAATAAAACACCCTGTATATTTTTGGCTAAAATGATAGCTTTTTTTGTTCTGATTCCAAATATATCATATATGTTGATATTTGGTTCAGTTGTTATTGAGCTATTTAATTTTAAAATTGCGTTGAGCAAGCCTCATTATTGATCAGGACAGATTAAATTAAGGGTAATGTAAATGCATTTTTAAACTTGAATAGCGTAGAAACAGCTGAACCAAATATCAACATATATGGTATATTTGGAATCAGAAGAAAAAAATCTATCATTCTAGCCAAAAATATACAGGGTGTTCCATTTGAAAAATGCAAGTGTTCGTCATTGTGACAATTGGCACCTGTCATTTGCCCATTTTGACATTCGCAAAAGATAAAAGACATAAAACCCTACATTTTTCATATTTAAAGTTTTTTTCCACCTCGTATAGCCAAAGCTGTAGGTAGGGGTCAAAATATAAGGACAAACCCTGTACAGCTCTTTTTAATTAATAATTAGTGTTTTGAGTTATTTGAAGTATTTTCCATGTTATGTTATGTTTTGCTGAATAAACATGGGTACCTATATTTATCAGTTATAGTGATTTTTATTTTGCCTTACCTATTGCATTTTATATTTATATTACCTTACCAAATAAAAGTAACTTGCGATTTTTTCAAGGAACCAGGGGTCAAGAGTCGTGTTTTAAGACACAGTCATCACACTCTTTTGGAAACCGACTGATAACCTTTGGCTCTTGACACGGTTTCGTCAGAAATTTAGCGACTTAATCTAGCTGGGTAAAACAGCTAATTAATTGCATTACGAAGCAAAAAAAAAGGATTTTTAGGCCGTTCTGTTACATCTACTGAGAACTTCGTCAATCACATATTTTTTGTTCAAAGTATAAAAATATGCTTCAGTCCTGCTATTTTTCAGTTTGTCATCATAACGTTCCTAAAACATAAAAAAATGTTTATCTACGCCAGTGAGTTAAGAAGCTCTTCACTCACGCATTTTGAGTGAGTTAAGAGCTTCTTAACTCACGCATTTTCATTACCGGACCCAGTGAGTTAAGAAGCTGTTAACTCACACATTTTGAGTGAGTTAGGAGCTTCTTAACTCACGCATTTTCATTACCGCACTCTCTCTTAGGTTTTTGAAATTATAATGAGAATTTCATACATCTGTCAAAACTGGTATTCCAACAATAAATTGACATGTTTTGATTGTTGATTTGAACCAATCAGATTGTTATTACGCGATAATTTGCACTAGTGCAAATTATCAGATAATTGCATACTAACTGGTGCGAAAACTGGTGTTTTGACATTTTTTGACAAAAAATTTAAATTTTTGATTTATGAAATTCTCTCATTAAATACAACTCGTGCAATGGAAATATGTATATTTATAATTTTCGACAAATTTGCACTCATGCGTGTGGTTACACAACTCGTGCTACGCACTCGTTGTGCAACTTCCACACGCGTATCTTAATGATGCTGTTAACTCACTTGTATCGTAAATATCTATTACCAACCGAAAGGTGATAAATCTTACCTTTAGTCCGGACTTCGGATTGTGAATAGATTATGTATGTATGCCACATTGGAAAGATAGAAGTAGTGCAAAATAAATTTGCCAAATACCTACTCCACAAACTGAGATTCTCTTGAATATGAGAAAGCTCTGCGGCATACCCAGCCCTGAGAATCTACGCAAAAATGCTCAGCTAATTTTTCTTTCCAAAATTCTGCAGAACTCGTCCGAACTTCTGACAGAAATTGGCAGTTCTCTTTCCAACCTGTGATCAAAACCAGATTCGTCGAAAACGTCCTCTGTGTAAAGTAGGCAGGTTTACAAAAATCATTCATATTTCTTTTGTAAGACAACTTCCGCTTGTTTTGCTCATCCGTTTATCTCTAAAACTTTTCGAAATTTTGTTTATTTTCTAAAACTTCTTCTCCTAATGAATCACACTTGACTCGATATGACACACGTTTCTTTGTTTCATGATGCAGTTTGAATTAGAACTTTCTGGAAACAATCAACTAAAGTTAGGAAAAGAATACAGGACAGAAATTAATATTTCTCAAGATATCGTCGAGGACAAAAAAGAGATATTTCATGAAAAAGTTCAGATGTAGGAACACGAAACTTATAAATATTCCTTTTTTGAATTGTAGGATGAATTTGCCTTGGGCAAAAATTATCACTATGAAAACTTTATTTATTATAAAACTTTACAAAAGTACGTTAACTGCACGAAATTTAAATATGTAATATCAGTTTTGGAATTTTAGTTAGTGAATGAATGTGAATTAAAATTGATAAATCCAATCGTGTTGCAGCTAGATTAATTTTTAGATAGATATAAAACCAGTAGGTAGATGAAATTAATTCAATAACCGATTTAGTGTTTGGTAATTATTTGATTGAATTATTCTCGATATCAATTTAAATTTTACCTGGTTATTGAATTAACTTATGTTAAAGAGTTTTGACTTGACATGTATTTTTGTGTTGCCTGCTGCATCAGTGGAGCCGCAGTCGGGGATATCCCTACGTGAGTACCTTCTCTTCCCCCATTTTATTTCAATTTTCTTTCATACGTCTTTTTTGCTTCCTGTCTTGCACGAGTCCTTTTTCAATCATCACTTTAGCTTTGACATTTGATTTGTACTTTATGTCATTGCTATTTTGTAACTATCCCTTATTTTTCTGTGCATTATATACAACATAATTTACAATAAAATATTATCATACAAATTACTCCGTTCGCATAAATATTTCTTTGCAGCCTAAGCTTTATAATAGATATTGCATGTTTAGATAATAATACCGAAAGAAATATAACACCACTCGGTGATCAATGTATTACAATATAAAAAAAAAATTAGATTGAATTTGATAATTAGTACGTTAAGGAGATTCTAGAAGGCTAAGTCGGCCATAAATTGTGCTCAACATTTTATAGAATCTCCTCAATTATTCAAATGTAGTTAAAGGTAAGATATATGAATAACTCTTTATACCCTTGTAAATGCTAACAACACCTACAAATATTTATTCTAACTTCTTGAACCTATTCCACCTTTTTGAATATCTTTTTTTTATTGCGCTGCCAAGCCTCATTTCACTATTAATTGGAACTCTTTTCTCTGCAGATGCGTGCACGAGTACATGGACATCTACTCGGAGGTAACGCAGCCGGAAGTGAGCGAGTTGGTCAACTCGCCCTTCGGCGGGCGCTTCTGCGGTCCTATCACACCCCGCACCAGGTTGTCGCTGTATCGCGCTCTCGCCTTCTCCTTCCATTCGGACAAAAATTCTTCCATGCCGGAACTGTTTGCTGGCCGGTACGCCTTTATCAACGACTGTAAGTAATAAATCTCATTTAATGTTTCTCTACATATAAGAAAATACACAGTACGAGCGTTTAAGTGTACCAGTCTACTGCCATCTCTAACATAATTATAATGTCCGTTCTTTCAGCTGAATTCGAAGTGGGTGCTTTAACGGGCGCTGGACCATGCAACTTCTTGGTAAAAGGAGCCGCAAAACATACAGGCAGTATAGTGTCTCCAACGTATCCTGGAGCCTACCCCAAAAACCTGTTCTGCTCCTATCAGTTCCTAGGTGCCCCCGGCGAACGCATACGGCTTGAATTTCGGGATTTCGATTTGTTTTACGGAGGTCAACAGTGAGTAAAATTGAATTATTATTATCATTTGGACTAAATATATTGTAATTTTCAGCTGTCCATTTGACTATGTGAGGATATACGACGGCTCCGACAATTCGTCTGCCATTATCGGTACTTACTGCGGCCAGCAACGTAACTTGGTGATCTACTCGTCGGAGTCGACGCTCTACGTCACTTTTGTCACTTTAAGACGCACTGCCAATACTCAGAATAGGGGTTTTAAAGGGATCTTTGAGTTTTCTAACTCTTTTACTAAATTAGGTAAGTTTAAAATGTCTACATGCATTGGGGTTAAGTAATTTTCTTGTAGATTTTATAAGTAAAAACGACGGTGAGCACATACGGGGAACCGAGTGCGATCAAAGGATTTTTAGCAAAAAAGAATCCAATGGGTTCGTTTATAGTCCGAACTATCCATTTCCATATATGCCTAAATTGGTCTGTAGATACTTCATCTACGGAATGCAAAATGCTCAATATTTAGAAAGGGTGCGATTAGAATTTTTGATGTTTGAAATTCCCAAGGGAAGTAAAGGAGAGTAAGTATCGCACAAAATAAACCTTACATCAATTACGGTGAATATTTTTAGTTGCTCCGATGGCTACCTCAAAATATACCTAAAAGGTCAAGAAGTAATAGACGCTTACGATAAATTCGATCACGAATTATGCGGCGAAGAAGCCCAACCTACAAGCATGGTATCAGACGGGCCTAGATTGTTAATGGTGTTCAGTTCGGGTGAATTGATGGGCCGAGGATTTAAGGCAAACTATACGTTTGAGACTGGTATGTAAAGAAACCTAATTCAGTAAAAGTTTATGCGTAACACAAATCTATCACGTTTTAACTCTACGTAGTAGGAACGGCGTAGCACCTTGTCCTAATTCAATCACAACACGCATTTAATTAATGTTTGCGTTTTATTTTTAGAATATCGAATCCCAGGTACAGCAGCACCCGACGGCTCGTGTTCGTTTACATACCGAAGTACGTCGAGGAAAAAGGGCGAGTTTAACTCGCCTCGTTATCCCACCAATTATCCGAGTTTCACGAACTGCACGTACCACTTCCTGGCAACGGATAACGAGCAAGTCACTCTGGTCTTTGACAATTTTAAAATTAGAGCAGATAATATTAATAGTTCTATTGGCTCCTATGGGTAAGAACGATTAGATTTTAATTTTTTTTTGATGCGGTCTCTTGGAATACTGGGAGTGTGTCAGGTTGAAAAATGAAAACTAAAGATTCCTCTATGTTCATAGGCGCCGAAATTTCAAAATTACTATGGGGTCTTGGGTTCCAAAAATTAACATAAGTAGAATTAATTAGACAGACAGGACTAGGCTACTAGACACATAGACTTAAATGGGACCAGTTGACAGATAACCATTTCACTGCAGGATCACCACTATGGATCATTGATTGTCCCCGCAGGTTCCTTCATATTATTGAAATTCGTGCATCTTCGGAATCTCGGCTATACTCGGCTTCGACAGTACCATGGGCGTAGTCAAGATTTGATCTTGGGGGGAAAGGAGCAAATTTGCAGGAAGTGATCCTTATAGCAGTGGCAACTTCGTTGCAAGCGCAGCGGGAAGAAAAGCGCCATACCGGCGAAATTTTTGGGTCTTTTCACGGTATTTTTGGGGCTTCTAATAATGGGGTTACTTATATTATAATCTAATGTATTTGAGTATTTTCCGTTCTGAATTAATGTTAAAATTTGAAGGCCTTTGGGGTAAGGGGGCAAATGCCGACTTGATTCGCCTTAACCGGCTACAAGCCAATTCGACTTTTCACTCCCTATGTGTCTAGTAGGTTTGGTTTCTCCGGTCTGTATATACATTTTCCATGATAAACTAGGTTAAGAGGCCAGTGCCATTCAGTGGCGTGCCTGACGGGCCCGCGGTGCGGGAGGGCCCCGGGATATTTGGGGTCCCCAACAGCCGTAACGTGCAATCAGCAAACTTCGAACTACGGGGAGCAAATAGCTTGAAGCCTGATTGTCTGATTCAAAGGGCAAGACTGAATTCAGCACATTCCCTCGCTATGATGCCTCGCTTTCATTCAAAACAAATTGAAAAAAACTCAACTTATGGCACGAAATAAACTTATAAATAAGCTAATGGCATGGCCAAAAAATGAACTACTTATATACAAGTTTGACAGCTCAACATAGGCCAATTTTGATGCAATAGAATGAAATGTCTAGAAAAACTCTAGGGTTGAATAGAGAACGAAATATAACGATTTCCCCTGTTCCACCTCCAGCATTCCCAGCGCTCTTTGGCCACCTTGTTGTTGTCTCCCTCCGCTTCGCGACAGGAGGCAAACCACATCTCGCTCTAAAATCTAATTCTTTTTTCCCTTGTACTTATAATGAATAACTATTATTGATGGGATGTTCCATCTTTCGGTGTTAAAGTTGCTCAATATATTAGGATATAAAATATCATCCATAACTCTTTGGAATGTAGCCGGCGCGTTCTTCAAACCAAAAGGCATTCGCAAGAACTCATAATGCCCGTTTTCTGAGGCTGAATGCGTTTTTTTCGATGTCGTTTTCATGCATCTGGATCTGATGGAAACTTTTAGCTAAATCTAAGGCGGTGAAATACTGGCAGCATCCCAGCTTCTTCGAGAGATCCGTTATGTTGGGTAATGGGTATTTGTCATCTAAGCTTTTTGTATTAAGGCCTCCAAAATTTACTTTACTATACTAAACAAAAAAATATTCAAACTGTTTGTCAAAGTGGGTATATCAAAAACAACAAAAGCATAAAACACACAAGTTTGATATAAAAATAAATACATAGTTAGGAATGTTAGGATCAGGCACTCAATATTTTTGTATCCACTCACTACACGTAGTACATACAATGCCAAAATCACTATGGGGGCTCCGCCCACATAACAAATTCACTACGGGGGCTCAAGCCCCTATTGCTCCTATTGCCCCTATTGCCCCTATTGCCCCTATTGCCCCTATTGCCCCTATTGCCCCTATTGCCCCTATTGCCCCTATTGCCCCTATTGCCCCCATGGTTCCGGCGCCTATGTTTATTGTGGTGTCTCCTATTTGTCCCTAGTGTGTTCTCTAGACCTGTCTTTTTTATTAGACTACAGAGCCATGATACTGGCCACTTTATATAACTTGCCAGATTGGACTTCTCCTCTCCAAGCCTCGCAAACTTAAGCATAGCGTTTCGCAGTGATACCACACATCTTCTGCCAGGTCCATTCCTTCTATGTGTTGATAGACCTGCAGAGATTCCGAAAATTGTTCTGGGCCCATCATCACAGTAACTGAGCCTCCTCTGACTGAGTCGTGGGCTTTTTCATTTCCTGGGTGGCCCTTCATGGCCTGGTACCCAGGATATGGTAAGTTTATTCGATAGGCCCACCTCCTCTAGGGCACGTATCCAGTCCCCAACCAGCTTGGAACTGATCTTCCGGGAGCTGCTTGCCTTAAGGACTGCTTGGCTGTTCGAGTAAATAACGATGTGTTTACTCTCAATTTTCCTTTCATTTATTAGTATGACGCAGTGCATTATTGCAGCGATGTTCGCCTGAATCATCGTGACGTCCTGTCCGAGACTTGTGGATATCTCCACCCTTAGTTTGTCTTCGTAGATACCAGCTCCGACTTTTTTGTTGGTCTTGGAGCCCTCTCCAAATTTAGAGTTAACAATTGTCATACTTATAATGGGATACAGATGATTTGGGACTAGGTCCTTCAATTTCAAATAGAGCTTTTTTTCAATACAAGCCACCGGCTTTATTTGATCTAAATTCATGATTGTCAACGTATTATTATCAGTTTCTTTAGGAATAATGAAAAAATTACTTACATAGTTTTTTAGCACTAAACACAATTAACTATAGCTTTGTTCGCGGGTCCGATACCAAATTGGTTCAGAACTAATTCGGGATTGTCGTAGAGCGCATGCCTAGTTAAGAATCGGTTCAGGATTTTTTTTTACCGCGAACGATTTTGGAACCGAAAACTGAATACTTTTAACTTATGTGATTTGTGAACCTTATTAGCTATTCGATTTCCATAAGTCAAAAAGAATAACAGAACAGATATAATATTTATATTTATTCAAAATTCAAAAATGATCTATACCTACATTGTTCATCCCTGAAATATGGCATCACTTTAATTAGGGGAGAGTCGGTGAATTGTGCGCACCTAAGGAAAAAGAAAGATATTTTCTAAAATATGGCTCATGGAGCTCTGAAATTTAGCATAGATATTCTTCTGTGTTTTAGCTGACAGCCCAAATCAACCAAAGATCACAAAAAAAATATTCTGAGCCTAGGGACAAAATTAGATAAAAACTGACACTGCGCACGATTATCCACCCTATGCGGTTAATGGTGCGCACTAGTCAGGGCAATTGTGCGCAACAGAAAACTATTGAAAACTATCGTATATAAAGGGTGGATTAAAAACAAGTGAAACAAAGTACATAATACGTTTATTGCAAACAATATTAAACTAAATTATTGCATAAAAACCAGAACTAGTGGTCGCAAAAGTCGCAGATGTAACATTCGGGGAAGTCTACCCCACTGCAAAGCTCATGGGCCCTTTTGCCGCAGATCGCACACTGAAACCAGTATTCGTCTTTCATTCATCTGTCTCCGAGATTGACCTCCGTGTCATCAAGTTCATCATCATCACATAACTGGCTGTCTGAGACTTCTTCTTCAGATTCACTTTCCTCAAAAACCTTCCTTTTAACGGTCTTATTATTTTTAGCGGGATGTTTTGCACTCGCTTTACCTTTTTTTGACGGATTTTTTTTCCAAATTTGCTTGCCTATCTTTTTTTTCTGACTCGCAGGCTATCAAAAGTTCTTTATTGGGTGTCTCCGTTAAAATTTCGGATTTCTGTAAGAGGACGGATAATTGTGCGCGATGCGCACAATTAGCCAACATGGACCTAATTGTAATAAAAATTCACAAAAATGAAATTGTACGTTATTTACCATGGAAAAATTTCTCCAGTAATAGTAGGAGCCCCACTGATTATTTTGGTGAAAATTCCGAAACAGGAATGTTCCTATTTTCAAAGTTATCGCTTGTTTTCACCCGCTTAAATTTTAATATAAACAGTCGGATAAACCGCCAAACACGATCACCGATATGTTTAAGCAGCAAATCGCACGAAAATCAGCGTTACTTTCAAAGACATCTATGAGACGGCGCCACGTGTACGAATTTGATCAAATAATAGGCGTTTTCGTATGGTATTATGGTGCGCACCATTAGCCGCTGCGCACATTTACCCGACTTCCCCCTACATTGCTTTTAGGAACTTAATCAAGCTCTAATTCTGCCTTGTCCTCATCGTTAGATGACAAATGGTCCGACTAGTAGGTAGGTACTTAGATGAAAAAATATCACTAAAATTGTGCATATTAATAAATATATTAGATTAAATAGAGATAAGTAACTTACAATACTGTACAGCAAATTCAATAAACTATAAACTCCGTAGGAAAAAACTAGCGTATAGTTTATCGCTTCAGCGTATAAACAATTAAAAAACCCAAATTTCAATAACGCAAAAAAAAATAAACACCAGTCAGCTGACAAGTCTGACGAAATTGCGCATGATCAGCCGAACCGAACTTTTAGTCCTAACAAAAATCCTGGGACTGCTAGAACCGATTCCGAATCAATTAAAACCAATTCTATGTGATCCGCGTACGTAGAACTGTTACTAAAAATTCAGAATTTTATTATCCGCGAACGCCACTTTTTACACTGCGCATGCGAATAGTCCCTGAACCGATTCGGAATCGGACCCGCGAACAAAGCTTATAAATGAGCCAACGCCTAAATTTGAATGAAATTTTCCTAGAAAAATGTTTTGAAAATGGGGCACTGAAAAAACATTGTGTTACTTAAGGAGGCTGGAATAACTAACTAGACTTTGAATGAATGAATAACAACAATAATTATTATCGCCAGGAAATGCGGTTTCTGTTAATGAGATAACAGGATTTCGAATAAATTAAGCAAGTTCGCAAAATTTGTTATCAGCGGCAGAAATTATAATTATTTAAAAATAATATTTGGGGCTTGCGAAAAATGGGATCCAAATTGGGGCCCCGCATTTCTATGGTTTGGATCTCGGCGGCGGCTGTGGCGGGAAACCAAATTTCGAGCTCCCGAAAATTGGGGGGCCTAGTTCGATGTATCTTGTTACAAGTCACGAGTTATGGGGTATCAAATTTCAGGTTTCGAGTTCTAGGTACGTGGTACAAATTTCAGGTTACCAACATGAGATACGGGGTATCAAATTTCAGGTTATGAGTTCTAGGTTATATTGGTTTCATATACGGATAATGGCGCCGCGGGTCTAGCAGCGGAGACAAGAGGCCCCTTTCCGATTTTTTCTCTAGATTTAGGGACATTTTATTGGCAACGTCGCACATTATTAGTTTCGCCAACGTCGCACGTACCTGTCATCTTGTATGGAGTATCTCATTTCAGGTTATGAGTTCATGTAAATGGGGCCCCAAAAATGGGGCCACGGGTCTAGCAGCGGGGACACGCATGTGGCCCCTTTGCTGACGTCACTTGGGTTAGGCCTCTTCAAATTGGGACTTGCCAAAAAATGGGTCCCACGAAAAAATGGGGCACAGGCCCACCTGGGTTATGCCCCTTCAATTTGGGGCTTCTCTGATGACGGACGCGAGGCCCCAGAACGAGTGTGACGTCACTTCCGCTCTAGAACTCTTGTAGTTCATCTACTTCGGTGTCCCAGAAGTGGTCTGTTTTATTTGAGGGACTTTCTTTCCAGTCTTCCCTATCTGGTATGGCATCTCAGAAGTGTCTACTGAAGATGAAAATAGGCGTTGTTTTATATGAAGGCATCTCGAACAAGGAGCTGACTTCTAGCTCCTCCTCTATTTTCCAGCTCATGGTCCTTTAATGTTTTATAATTGGACCCTGGTCTTTAGTCTGCAGAGTACCGCCTTGGCTGCGGTTGGGGCTATTTTCATGACCACCGTGATACATAAATAGGCTAGCCACATACTTCGAAACAATCTGATTGCTACGGTCTTTGTGACCTTTGTACACCAGGCAACCAAACCGTACCTTCAGAAGTCAAAACTCTATAAACTAAAAAGGGAATCAAAAAATAAAATAAGTTTAAACATTTCAAACATGACTAATTCCCTCTAAGAACACTTTCAAATTATAACGTTGTCTCACCTGCTTCAGAGTTGGAATATGTCAAGAAGACTGGCTAGAAATATACAACGTCTACAGAGATGGTAGCGAAACAATAATAGGAAGGTACTGCCACGTGTCTGCACCGGGACCTATCGAATCTAATCGCGGTGCCGTCGGCCTCAAAGCTATTCTTCATTCGAATGAAGTACACGTAGCCAGCGGGTTCAAGGCCAGGTACAGCTTTGAGGTGGCCAAGTCGATTTTTGGAGACTGTGGAGGTAAGTCTCATTCTCATTAGGTACTTCTAAGAAAATTGGAATTAATCTTGAAAGATTCATTTTTTTTTTTAAATAGCTAACGTTAGTAGCTCTGACAGCGGACAAATCCTAAGCCCGAACTTTCCGAAAAATTACGACGCGCCGAAACTAAATCAGGCATCGAAAAGTTGTAACTGGTACATTAGCGTCAGACCTCAGCACAGGATTTTAATCATTTTCGATAAGTTCGCTATCGAAGGGGAACCGAGCGGACGCGGATGTCCCGCGGCCGTTTTAAGAATTTGGACTGACATCGCGTCTCCTGGAAAAGAACTTTGCGGAGAAAAGGCTGTAGGTGAAAAATGGGAGTATATATCCGCATCGAATCAAATGCGATTGAGGTAAATTGAGTTGAAATGATAACAAAAAAATAATATATAAATTATTGTAGTTTCATCACAGCGGATAAGGCGGTTGGTTATTCGGGTTTTAAAGCCTATTGGACGGAAGTTTTGGACGGTCCGTCCTGTGACGAGTTTCAATGCGAAAAAGCTCTTTTCTGTATACCGTTTCACTTAAAATGCAACAACATTCCTAATTGTGGGACGGAAGATGACTCTGACGAAAGAAATTGTAAGTAATCTTGATTAATTGAAAAGATAGTTAGAAGATATTTAATTGAAACACACATGAAAATACCCTCTTGAGGCTTGGGTAGGTAGTAAATGAAATGAAATGTCAAATACTAACTTCTTTTTTCTATACTTTTTTCTGTTGCATTGCACGCATTTTTCTAATGGATAAATGAAAATGAATATACTTAAAAGGGCATTATTGAGCCAAATAATGTTATTTGAAGTGAATTTTCTTCCTAATTCGCGACAGCTATGTCAGTGGCGGCTTACAATAAAGCAAATTTTAGAATTTTATACTACGTGTAGATTAGTTAAAAATTACGAAATATATTTGTGTCAAAAGATCAAGTCCGTTAATTTCAATATTGAACAGATTTCCAGATTTTCATATCACCAAAACTTGTATCGCGAAAATCCAATGCTGATAAGAATTACATTTCCATTAAATATTTCTCATGTCTTTTACCGCTAGCAATGTAGCGGAATTTCAAATTGCAAAACCCCAAACGAAATAAGACGACCTTTCAAGATAGAATTTCTATGGCTTATTTCGAACTTTGCTCTTTTCAACGTCACACTATCTGGTCCCTCTTTGATAACTTTCGTAAAGGCGAAATTAAATAAAACTTTAAGCTTTGAGGAGATTACATTAATGTTTGATCATTTGACACAAAATAAGTGTGTGTATGTACAGGTGGCGCGGCGTCGCGGGTCAACGCGGCATCGGCGTCCCGCGGGCGGCGCCCCACCTGGCCGGGCGTCGCCCCACTGGCCGAGCTGTTGTCGCTCGTGCTACTCTTGTAGCGGTACCCTCGCCCTCTTGCTCCTCGTTCATTCCGCTGCTCTGTCTAAAGGCGTGAGTCACAACCTTTTTCTTCTTCGGTTTTTTTCGTTTTGCATCGTGGCCACACAGAGCATGCAATTCATAATTCAGGCTTTAGCAATTATATTTCTATATTTCCTACATAATGCTTAGGAGTGCGATTGTCATTTTTTTCATTTGTGCATTCAAAGACAAACTTTAGCTGGTCTAGTTTGTCGGTTTATGGTAGCTTGAAGGTTTTTTATCTTTGCATGTTAAATCATTCAAAGTCGCCTGTTCTCAAATTAAGATTTGTATTGACGATATAATTATCGACAAACTGAACTATTAAGTAAGAATTCATTCATTATGTTACCTTCATAGAATCATTTGCATGCATTTCGTTCATTGGCCAGCCACCCACCTGCTTATACACCTATTGGCATTTTCATCAAAATGATCAGATACCTATTTACATTAGTTATTGATTTGTCATTTGTTAATCTGCACGTAAGTTTTTAATCAAACAAAGTGCTTTATCAATTAAAACTTTTATAGGGTATATTATCCTAGAAGAATCATTTTTAATTGTTTTAGAATATCATTGCGAAAACGTTGTAATTGCCCAAAATGTAAGTGTACATCTAGAAAAACAATAATAATTTTAATTTTCAGGTTTTCCTTCTGAAGAGCCTCAGACGCCCTTTCGATTGTCCTGGGTGGCTATTATGGGCGCCGTTTTGTTAGCCATGATTTGCTTCTGCGTCATCTGCCATAAAAAGCGACGGCGACGCAAAGAAAGGGAGAGGGCGATGCGTCGCAGCATCCACATACCGGTAACTGTTAGTCAATCAAATTTTTTATTATTATAACTTTAGAGTAGAGTCATTTCTATTCTGATGCTGTCAACCAGGGTTTTTCTCTGTCTGTGTTCAATGTACTATCTATTTTCCTTTCTGGTAGCATAACAATTGTTAAGAGATGCGTTTTATTTTATTTTTTACGGCAGTTGAAGTTTGATGTCCTCAAAGTATTTTTTGTTAATAAACGTTTTTCAACGAGGCTTCCTTGTGATGTTTGGTGTTTGATCATCTTCATCAATGGGCTTGTTTATTGATTGATTTGAAAGGAAAGCACGTAGGCGCACATGTGGCCCTCTTGGTGCAATCTTGTGTTACTTTAGGAGCCTGCAACTTTTAAGAAAGACAGACTCGCTCCAGGTCGGACATGCTTTATTTAATCAGGTTCCATAAACCTGTAACCGAGGTATCGTAGTCTGCGACTGACGAGGGCATCACATTCGCAGACTATATGCTGACTACCCAGTGCCTCGTTAGGACGCCTGTGATAGCTCTTAGTCGACTCCTGTTTAGTTTTAGGAGGCTTTTTGCCTCTTTGCAGTTTGAAGGAGCTTGTATAAAGATCTTTGACTGTCTGAGGCCTCTTTGGTCCAGTCATTTGTCTTGGAACTGGTTGTTAGACCAGACCTGTGGCAGAAGCAGATAGCAGTCCCAAGTGCAGGTTCTGGCTCGATAAAGACTTTATCTGAATGAAGGGCTTTCAGTGCTGCCCGACTGTCGTTGCATATATAGATATTGTCACAATTCCTATACGTTTCGTCCCGGGACGTCACAACAGGAGCGTGACCTGGGGGCCAAGGTGGGGTTCAGGTAGAGAGAAACTGCTTAGTATAGGTATAATAAGATATGTATTGAATAATAATAATATTAGGTACCCTAGAAATAGTATCATGACGTATCTTCTCCGGAGGGACGTACTACTTATAGGCCACTCTGTATTATGTACCCTCTGTACACTTGGCCTGACTGAAGACTGAAGCTGGGTTTGAGACAGGTCCAGAAGGGCGTTTCCCAATAAAGGTAGTTTGCACTGGACCTAGTCTGCTGCGTTCAATACTCCCAGCCCAGAAGAAGCTAGGTTTGTTTGAAACAGGTCCAGAAGGGCGTTTCCCATTGAAGGTAGTTTACACTGGACCTAGTCTGCTGCGTTCAATACTCCCAGAAGGGCGTTTCTCAATAAAGGTAGTTTGCACTGGGAGGAGACTCAGCTAGAGGGGCTTTTCCCATTTGAGGTACTTTGCACTAGCCTTAGTCTGCCGGTAATGGATTTCGGCGCGGTATTTATACCAAATAAATGCTGACTCGTCCACACTTTAGTAAAATTAGTGTACAGAGTGGTATTTACTCAAGTAGTTGACAATATGCTTGCCCTGGAAATTCTCTTGAGCACACACCTGTATGGCGTAGATCTCTGGTATACCATTAGGTATCCACCCACTGCGATACTGATTTTCGCGCCACAGGTCTCTTCCCATAAACACTAGCCCGCAGCCCCTGCACCCTTTCCTATCAGCGACCCATCTGTGTACCAGATGAGCCCCTACAGCTTGAGGAGCCTGAGGTAGGCTTCAGCCAGTCGTCCGTTGCAAGGATGACGACCTTGTATTGTCTAAGGGGGCTGAAGTTTTCAGCATTGCATCCTTTCTGGTTGGAAGGGGGTCCTGTCTGAGTATCAGTCCAGGCCCTTGCATGTCCCATGTTCAGCTTACCATGAACCCATTGTCCCCGATCGTTAAGCCCTTCCGGAACCGTGCCTCCACAAAGAGATGAAGAGGCATTATTCCCAGTATGGCCTCCATTGCCAACGTTGGGGTAAATCTGGAGGCTTCAATTGTAGCCATGCAGGCAAATCGTTGTAGCTTTGCCCTTTGGACGGATTTGCTAAGCGCATTTCACCAAACTAAGCTTCCGTCACTGCTGTGTGAAGCCAGTTGACTATATGTAGGGTTGTAAGCTCCAGGTGCGTCCGATGGATCTTCTACAAGCCCAAAGGCTAGCAGTGGACGACCCTGTTGACGTGATCTTTCGAGGGCAGCCTAGAGTTAATGATATGACTCCTAGATATTTCCCACGTTTCTTCGCTTTATAAATGGTACAACTTTCATCTTGCCCAAGATAATTACACCATCTTTCGACCATGTTAAGAGCTCTTTGTTACCATGTCAATTCTATACCTTCTTACAACGCATCTCTTAACAATCTTCAAATTCCAGGTACTTGAGATTCGATTTTCAATTTTTTTTTGCAGGTAGCCATTCCAGGAACTTCCAGACAACAGGTGCCCCATTTCTGCGACGAGCTCGGCGAACGTTTCGCCTCAGTCGACAGTGTCTGATGACGGCTGTTGCCGTCGACGGCGAAACGTTGGCTCTTCAGGTGCCTATCCGAGGCTACCAGACCTTACTTCCATTTGCCGAACACGACCGAATGGTTTGATCGAAAGAGTACGAGTGTGCGGAGAGCAGTGTTTTAAAAAGGGTAGTTGTCGTTGTTAAAAAAATAAATATACATATATTGAATAACCTCGGTTCGGGCATTTTCGGATAATATTGTGCTCTATAAATTGATATTGCTGCATGTTGTTTGTTTGAAAAACTAAGTTTTTGAGAGAGATGTATAAACAACTGTTGCCTGTTTGGGTGGTCTTTGATAATAATTATCCTTCCTCGCAATATACTTACCTATATAGCAAAATATGCCAGTAATATCAAAATATTGAGGCAATCAACAGAGGACAGTAGGTATAAACGACAGTACCAAAAAATACAGGGTGTTTGAAAATGTTTTGTTTCTTGGACAATAGTTATATCTACATTTAAAAAATTTGAAAATTCTTTTATAATTTTCAGCACAACAAAAATTATCCAATAGTAGGACAATCAAAAAAATACCCTGTACTTTACTGTCGATTATCAACAAACTTTAACCTAAGATTTATACAGACACCATTTAAACAACTTTTATATACGCTAACCGTAATTTTATAATAAAATAGAACTTAACTAGTGACAGCGGGAGACTAAAAAAAATAAACTCTTAAAAGCACCAGTGCTACAAATCCTATAGTGTTTTGTTAACCGATAAACAGTGATGCTAAACTTTACGGAAAATAAGAAAAATGTTTTTTAAATCGAGGTACATATATAAAACAAGATATAATTTTTTACGTTTAAAATTCACTCGAAAAATGCAATAATAGATAGAATTGCACTTATCCGCACAATATAACATGCCCCTGTATTTGTCGACCGTTTTGAGTTGGTGGGTAGAAAATAGGAATATTTATTTCATTACTTTGATTATTCATATTACTGCCAACCAGCGCATAGCAAAATTTGGGGGGGTGCTTTAATAAATAATATAAAATATTTTATTTCGACAACGAATGGATAAATCTTCCTAAGTGCGCGTAAGTTTAAAATAAAAAGACATTCAAATTATTATTAATAAATAATACGGAAACAAATTCTACTGCCGTGTTAAGAGAACTTTGCTTAAAGTAGTGTTTCGTGTACTTAAAAATGAAATTAAATAAATAAACGGAAGACTCTGTCCGATGTGTTGTTATTTATATTAATATTAATAAAAAATTATTATTATTATTATGATTATTATTATAAAATGACTGAAATTATTTCTTTTTGTGTAATTGATTGATTGATTGAATTACAATAAAATGGGAGTCGATGGGTTGGAAGTTTGTTGAAATTAATTAAGGATGAATTTAATTGACAAAACAACACCTGTCAATATTGAAATATGTAGGTATTCTCAATAATCCAAAGTACACTACAGCTAAGAGTAAAGTAACTTTACGATGAATATGATAGCTATAAGGTGGAAAATATTGAAAAATAACTTGTATGTATGTATATGTTGGAGGTGTCAGTTGCAAAAAGAAGATTTATAAAATTGTCATTGCTACAAGTAGTGAAAATCCTTCAGAGAATATTTTTTGAGAAACTCGTATTCAGTGACAAGACAAGCGTGTACCTACTTTTGCTATTTATGGAAAACTTAACACCAGTACAGTAATTTTTCAGGTTTAGCTTGAAGAGAAAACCAAAATTTGTCTAAATATTATCTCAACTACTGCAAGTTTCAACAAAATCCACACCCATTGTCTCATCAATTATTTGAACTATTAGCTATGTGTTTTGTCTGTAAGTAGTAAAATAACTAAGATATTTTATATTTGTCATAAAAACTAAAAGCATGAAGGTATTTTCGTCATCAATTCTCATCTCCCCTATTAGTTATTGGTAATTGTTTATTACATTATTGAAACTAGGCGCCGAAACACCAAATATATGTAACTTATAATAGCCCATAATATGTATTATCATTAGTACAGTGAATATCTTGCTACAATTTTTAGTAGCTTGAAATTTACTGTATGATTTTTATTAATAAAAATAATGTGTACCTACTTTTTTTTTGCAGCAATTATATAATAATTTTTGAATACAAATTATGTAAATATCGATATTGTATTTTTCTTAGTTTATATTGAAATAAAGTTAGTGGATTTATACGATGATTATGCTGCAAGTTCCTTATGTTATAACAGCATATTATATTTATGTAAATTATCCTTCATGCCGATTTATTTTTTTAATTAATTTTAATTTCTGAAACTCAAATTAAGTATGTTAATAGAGATAAAAAAAATATATTGAATAAAACTAATAAATGTAAAAGTGTCTGTGCTAAAAAAAAAAATTAAATAGAAAAAACACAGCGATTGATAATTAAAATTTGTTTAAATGTTTATATTGTTTGTAAACTCAAAAGTCCATAAAAATTTCTAGTTAAATATAAGAAATTTTTTTTAAAGACAAAACACCAAGTAAATAGATCTAATATTTTAAAATTAATGAAGAAAAACTAAGAAAAAAAAAAAATGTAAGTCTTCCCGACAATTGTTGTGTTTTATTCTTTATAGGTACTAAAAAAAAAAATTGTCTTTTAAGTTAAAGTAGTGAGAAATTTGTTTATTCTTATTGTGAAAATAAGATTTTGATTGGAGTTGGCCTAAAACAGTATTATTCAGGCTCAAAATTTACACTATTTGAAAATAAAACACTTCGAGTGCCAAATTTATATTAGTCAAGCCAATCAAAATCATTTGAAAATAGTGTGCCACGATTTTGTTAAATGTTTCAATAAAAAAAAAAAAACACTAAATAAAACAGGGTACTTTTATGAAGAAAAACGCAAGTGAATAATCATAATACAGTAATCAATGTGTCAAATTTTCCCAAAAAATTATCCCAGAATTTCGAAAAAAAAATTACCATGTACTACTAAAATTATTAATGTCCTTGGCTGTATTTTGTGCAATGATTTTGTTTGGGAGAAAATGGTTTTTGTATGTTGAGTTTGTTGTCAAGGCTCAGACATTATTACTGACACAATTTGTTTTTTTTACTTTAAAATATTAATGTTTAGGGATTTCTTGAAGGAATCTATTTTATTATTTTCAGGATAATTACTTTTTGAAATGAGTTGAAGAAAACTTGGAATATACATTATTAAAGTTTTAATTTCAAGTTAACATTATATATCTTCTCAACTTCTTTAGCTTTGACAACAAACAATAAATATACTTAATACCAAATCAATTATTATTAAATTGTAGCAAAATTGCACCCTATATAAATTAAATTAAATTTAAAAAAAAAAATGGCTCCAAAAAGGCTTCACATTGTTATTTAGATTAAACGTTTATAGGATTGTTTTTAAAACCTATATTATTCCGACGATTATGGTGATTTTTCGGTAATTTAAAATGTATTTGTAAAAATAACAATGCCATTTTTTTGAGAGAAAAAAATTAATGATTGAGGTTTTTTGCTTTTAATAATTGAGTTAGTTGTCAGATTTGGGTCAAATTTACCCCTTCAAAATAAAACCCTTAAGTTTTTAAACTTTGACTTATCTTCCTCTCTAATTTTCAGTAGCCTTCTATTCCCAGACATCACAGAGAGATCTTAAAAATGCCCACAAACAACATCCTGCATGCAGACGTCTGCATAATCAGAGTGGTTCTGAAATCGTCCGGGCCGATATTCTCGTTCCCGAAAACGTTGACCGACTTTTAATGTAAATTTACATATAAACTGCCGAGCGAATCAAAAGCGGTGAGCGTTTTGTGGCATTTTCAATGGTTTCCAATAACTTCTAAATTGAATGAGAAATGAATTCTGTGGAAATATCTATTGATCTGAATCTTCATCAAACCCCTTCTAATAAATAAGAAACCTAAAATAATACATAATCTCAGCAAAAAGAAAAATCTGATAACTGGCACAATTATTTTTAACACTTATATATTCCTTTAGCACAACAAAAACCGGCTTTCGAAACACCCTGTACAATCGCGATTATTTTAACTTGTATTGTTAAGAATCGAAATAATGTAGTAGCCCTTTTTTGGGCGAAATACAGGAACTAGACCGGCGCGAGCCCCAATAAAAATAGAAATATTGATTGAAAAAAAAAATCATCTTGTGCTGGTCTAGTACCGTTCAAGCCCACATTGAAATAAAAACATTTTAATATGGGCGAAATATAGCTTTTTCTTCAGGAAGAATCCCCATACACTGAAAGGGCTGAAAACCTAAATGTTTGTTGTTATAGATTTTTCAGAAAACATACTCAGCCTAGTCTGAAAACTCCTCAAGAAAAAGCCCATTTGTTTTGTTTTTTTTTTATAGCCAAACCAAATATTGTATTATTGAATTTCGATAAAATAATCCTCATCTCCATAATGTCATTTGTTAAATTTAAAGCTGTTAAGTACTGTTAAGAGTTAATATAAATTGGTCGCGATCTGTAACATACTATATCAAACTGCTCACAGCGACTAGACGAATAATAAAAATGTAATTACACAATAATTTTAGTTGTTTTATTTCTAGAAAAATCCCCTAAACTTAAAAAATCATTTATAAAAAATTGTTATTTTGAATAAATACATGTTCAATACAAATCATCATGAACTAAATCAGCAGTTATCTGTAACCCCCTTTCCTTTAACGCTTTTGTAATAAGTTTTTGTTTCTCAACTTTAAGCTCTTGTTCTTTTCTTTGTGCATCCAAAATATCATCTACAGTTACTTCATTCAGAGGCAGTTTGTCTTCTTTATCGGGATCCTACAAAACAATGTGCTAATTTGTATATAACTTAAAAAGGGCACCGAATTACAATCTCGCCTAGTAAAACTACGTTTTCGCCTCGAACAATAAAGACACCTCTAGGTATATCCCCATATTCTTTGCCCACGTGAATTCGTTCTATCGTCCTGTGCAGTACTAAATTAGCAAACTGGTCTACGCTTCGTAGGTATCCTATGAGAGTCCTACCATCTCGGAGCAAGACCATAAGTTTTTCTAGACAATAGTGATTTAAATAGATTTGTTTTTAGAATGCAGTATTGAAGACTTACTGTCTAATTCATCAAGTAAATGGGCAGTTCCTTCTAACTCTGGTTTATTCATTTTCGGGAAAATCTTTGAAGAAGGAAATCTTTGTTTAGTTTGTTTTGGATTTTCTAACCTAACTTTATTAAGGTGCGTTCGCGTCTCTGTTAATCTGTGCTCGGAGTGCTAAAAGCAAAAGACAAATGTAATTTAAAAAACTCTTTGTTTCACACAGGCCTCTTGAGGATAAGCTATGATGATACTGGAACGGTACAAATCTAATGCGGGTCCCTTCCGTGGTGCTCCAGAGCACTCCAATAGTTGTATTCCTTTCAAGAGTTTGAAACACTCGAGCTACTCGGTCCGGTGCTAGTCGACCCCGATTTTGAGGCAGTGGATAGAGGTCCGAAAATTCGGATCTCTAGTGTTCATACTAAAGATCCGACAATTCTCGGATTTTCAATTTGTATATTAGGGATCCGAAAATGCGGAACTTTAGTGGTAATATTGAAAATCCGAAAATATATGTTTATTTCTAATTCTGTTAATTCAGGAATATTCCAATAAAATTGATAAAATGCTTGTATTTTAAGGATTTATACTAGAAAAAATGGATCATCTAATCCTTTTTATGTAGAATAGCTAATCAAGTTTACTCGAAAATATTTGGTTGGTCCAATTTCAAACAGAACAGTACAAAAAAGAAAACTAAGTAAACTTACCTACCTTTTTATTTTTTTAAAACATTACATAATTGAAAATAAATATTTCTTTATTTTAAGGGTTGATAGGGGAGGTGTGATTTAGTTCCTTCTGCACTGCATGCAAAACCAAGCTTTACTAGAAGGCAGCTTTGTTACTGAACAGCACGCTTCATGTTTACACTGAAGACTTGAATCACCCCGTAAGCAATCTTCATGTATCACTTTGTTACATATATCATAAATCCATTTCAGAATACTATTTTGTTTTTCAATTCGTTTTTGTAATAAAACATAAGAATCGGGACAAAAGTATGCTTCTATTTCTGCTAAAGATATTTCTTCTTCAAGAAGAAGTGTATATCAATTTGTTGATTATGAGGAATGTTTTCTTTCTCAATTTTAAAGTTTTTAGGTAATGCTTTGCTTACCAAATCATCTGTATTTAGAATAGGGAACTTGACAAAAAATTTAAACATGAAAATATTACTATAAATCATAAGAATACATTAATTAAAACCTATATCAGCGAAAAAAACAATTTTTTTTTGTCGCAAACGGCTACAATAAGGAATTGAAAATGCAGAAAAATTCAAATTATTTCCAGCGGGAAAAAACGCTCTGGTACTGGTCGTGACGTCATGTAGTATGATTTGTCAGTGTCTGTCAGCAACCGTCCATCACACCGTGAGTTCGTCTTGAAACACTGAACACTCGGAGCATTTTCCGTCTTTTTTTCTTATGATGAGAAGAACAGGGATAAAAGAACAAAACAGCAACTCCGAGCGTTTACTCGAACTCTACATAATAAATACCCGTTAGCTGTGTTTATTTACGTTTTTCTCTGATTTTTTAAAATTTTATCAATATTAGAATTGGTTTACTTCGCTTAAATTCAATGATTAGCCTAGCATTATATAAATAAAACGATATGGTACCTATTAATTATGACCAAAGAAGGAAATTCCAAAGGGCAATCCGCCAATCTATAATTTGTGATATGTTTATAGTAACAAAAGTAAGTAGGTATAGCATTTGTAATACCCATTTAGAATAACCCCATCCTTATTTATCAATCACGAATCAGATGAAACAAAAAATTACCAACAAAAACGAACGTCGATTGCTAATACGTCAATTTCATCTACAAATAGGAAATTCCTAACCTAATTTTATTTGTGTGTCAAGAAGCGACATACGTTTTGTCACTAAAACGACAGGTACTTCTAAATAGGTATTAAAAATACTATATGTGCATTTGCCGAATGCTAGAGCAAAAAACACTGTACCCAACGTTGGGGCCAATGGTTGGACACATCGTGTGGCGCCGGCTTAACGCAAAATCATACTAAGTGACGTCATCCAGATTTAAGGTCGTTTGAAATGCTTTTAATTCGCGCGAAACTTTATAGTTATTTATGTATCAAGGGAATTATGCAGGTGTTAATACCCCAGGGCAACGTTTGTGTCCCGAGGGCCTCCGGCCCGAGGGACACCAATTGCCCGTGGGTATTAACTCCTGATAATTCCCGTGGTACATAGATAATTTTATATCCTACTGAATTTACTGTATTCTGTTTATTTTTATAAAGGAATAAGCCATAAATCAAAATTTCTATTTTTTGTCAAAGTGTTACCTATTCAAGGTAAAAGCGGGAGTTATGGAAATCCTTAACTCCCTTGGGAGTTATGATATCCTTAACTCCCTTCCTTAACTCCCTTGGGAGTTATGAAAATCCTTAACTCCCTTGGGAGTTAAGACCCTGTTTATGATTATCGTAACCAAGGTATTATATGGTTTTAATAGTTCAGTAGGATATAAAACATTTTTCACCAAGTTATTATTGAGTTTTAGGGAATAATATTTGGGGAATACTCTTTCAAGGCATAAATAAATGATTTAAAAAAATAAAAAAAAATTTGTAAAGTTCCCTATTGCATTAAGGATTATCTGGTGCCTTAGTTTGGGATGAACTTCATTTTTGAATAAAAGACTTTTATTTTTCTTAGACCTTTTTAGTCCAATTGCTGTTAATTGATGTCCCTTGGGTCTTCCTTTATGGGCAAGTTTTAAAGGAAATTTAATACCTTTTATTTTTTCTTCTACCTAACTGGTTTTGTGCTGTAGTATTTGGTTTTTGGGCTAGTTCCATTAAAATGGCGTCACAAATATGTACAAAGAATAATATTCGAGATAAGTCTGTTTCTGCAGAAATCACAAACCAGTCAGAGCAAATTTCAGTGGTTGAAAACAGTCAGAAAAGTAGTTTCAACCAATGAAATTCGCTCTGACTGGTTTGTGATTTCTGCAAAAGCAGACTGATCTCGAATATTATTTTTTGTAGATACTTGCGACGATAATATTCCTTATTAGACGGAATTAGAAATAAACATCTATTTTCGGATCTTCAATACATATTACCACTAAGATCCGCATTTTCGGACCCCTAATATACAAATTGAAAATCCGAAAATTATCGGATATTTATGGCGTATTCGACTATCCAGCGCTGGCTCCGATCAAGCTCGAAAAATGATGGTGCAATTGCACTAAAATCAAGAGCGGGTATTTGGCGATTCGATCGCGCGCTGGGTCAGAGCGAATTATCAAAAATAGTGAACTGGCTCCGTGAAAATCCGAGTTGAAGCGTTCGTATGTGCCCCATTATTGCACTTGGATTGCGTTTACTTTTTTCTCAATTTCACTTAACCTCAAAGCTCAAATTGATAAATTTTGAAATTTATTTAAGATTTCCGATTCAATTTCCGGCAATGTCGGCATCCAAATAGTTTTGAATCTTTGGTCTCTTTTTAGGAAAACTAAAAGCCATAATTGATTCATCATCATCATCATCATCATCACTTTCTGAGCTACTGCTACTACTACTTGATGATAATACATCTGCAGCTAATAATAACAACAATTTCCTTTTTTTATTATTCATATTTCAGAAACTTTTTTGTAAACAAACAAACATTCAAAAACGCAAAATAAATAATTAGTAAAACAAAAGACGGATTGGAAATTTGAGGTTATTTTTTCAAAAAATCCAGTGCAATCTACTTGAACCGCCAAAAATTACAGTTCCAAAAAGTTCGAACGCTGGATGAGCCACGCTAACAATCCGAACATAAAGTATTGCCCTGCCCGCGCTTAGCTCGGGTAGTCGAACACGAGAAATGTTTGCTCGCTTATGAGCTGAATCAACCCGAACATAAATTATTGCACTGCACTCGCAAAATGCGAGCCGAGTGCGCACTAGTGCCGGTAGTCGAATACGCCATTAGTATGAACCAATGAATTATAGCTAAAAACTGGAATGCACACACAGTGCCATATCTGCCAAAAAAATGAAGCCATGGAAAGACAGATGCCACAAGGGGGAATGTTGTTTTTTTCTGTTGCTCGCTGTCATATGACGTTTTCGAAAGTTTTGTCATATTTCCCTTCACAGATTTCATCGATTGGAATACGTGTGGGAAGCAATTTTCGCCATTTAACATAATAAGTGCGACAAAAACAGGTATCCCCTCCGCAGCAGCTGCACTGGGCTTCACGTTCGCCCTTATGTGTTAGCATTCCAGTTTTTGGTTATAGTTCATTGGTATGAACACTAGAGATCCGAATTTTCGGACCTCTATCCACTGCCCGATTTTAAAGGGTGAGATGCGGGGTGCAACAAACACTTTTCAAAAGGAATAAACGCGAGGCCCCGGACCTGTTCCGGAGCTCCTCTTAGGTGTGAAAGCAATACAACTAATGTGTATACTGGAAAGCAGCTCATGTAGCGCCAACCTGCTCAACGAAAAATTACAAAATTTTTTTGCACCATTCCATTCGTTAATCTGCCCTTACACTGCACTGAATGCAGGTTCGAATAAAACACGTGTTCGGATCTGTTCTAAGTCACACAGTTCCGAGTTCAATCTTAAGTGAAAACAACATTTTTAACAATGTCCTTTTATCGTACCTTACTCCTTATTTTTGTGTGTATTTTCTTATTAGCTTATTTAATTGTCGTGTCTGCATTGTATTACGTTTATAGTTGCTTAGATTTCATGGAGGAGTAATTTGTTTTTTGTAAAATTGTCAATGCTATCAAATTTTTAATGTAGAAAAGGCTTGTGTTGCCAACAATAGTTACTAAATTTTTGACTTGGGGAATTATCTTAAAAAAAAAAACAGGGGGCGGATTCTCATCCTCTGGTCGCAACCTATCGTCCCGACTCACCCGTAGAAAGGCAATGGGATAATCGGGCCGATAGGTTGCGACTAGAGGATGAGAATCCCCCACCAGACTTTATCATTATTCTCTGAGATGCTTTCCAGTGCCTAAATTGTTAGAGTATCGTGCTCCTGGAGTGTGACACTCTTGAACTGTTCGACATAAGCAACACTGGAATGCTCTCGTCTTAACCCCCACCATTTCGGACTTCGGGAGCATGGAACACCGAAATAAAGGTTGGCCTTAGGGGTGCAGGGGAAAACAGAACTGATGCTGTGGTTCAAGTGTACGACACTCTAAGCACTGGAATGTGCAAAATAATTGTGGAGCACTCCTGGGGCCTTATTCTGTAAGGAACGAACCGTTCGATTCGGCAGAATTTCTTCGATTGTGACGTCATTTTCGGTTTGGTAGTGCGAAAACCAAACCGAAAATGACGTCACAATCGAAGAAATTCTGCCGAATCGAACGGTTCGCTCCTTACAGAATAAGGCCCCTGAGCTGCTCAGGGTAACTCAAATGGGTCACTGGAAAGCACCTTTAATTAACATCATCCAGGCTTCTTGCATCCCCCGCAAATTTGGTGCATCAGGGAAAAGAGAGGCACTATGAGCGATGTTGCAGTTAAAAACGCAACATAGGCAACGTCGCACGTCGTTGTCCGAAGAACAGAAAAAGCTGAAGTGTTTTATTTAGAAAAAATCCTTCAAACCCTTCCTTATCAACAATAGGGTTTCTAGGTATCGGCTACCTGTGGAAAAAGTGAATATTCTTGGAGGAAAAGGGCAGTGGAAAATCCAAATTAAACTCCGCTCTCCTTTCAAGTGACTCGAGTGCTAAGGTGCGTTTAAAAGAAACATACAAGCTTTTGACATTGAGCAGGTCCGAGTAACTCAACTGGTGAAAGGAATATACCGTGGGTTCGGTATTTTGATCTGAGTTCTCCGAGCATAAATTTACCGTTCGTTTATTAAAAAAGTGTACTCGGTGCAGGCTCATTCACGTTCGTTTATTAAAATTTCGAGACCTCTGATACAGCGTTTAACTGCTCTGTGCGCTCACCGGTCACGTAATTACGGCTTCGCTCTGCACTCTCTGCTCTTTGAGCAAAATAACGCACGCAAGGACAGTAAATATAAAAGCCCGCGGAATCATAACCTGTGGTGAAAACACCCTACGTCAAGGCAAAAACGACACGCTGCCTATGGCATCACTGGTTCTTTAGGTGAGGTGAAAGGCTTGAGATTTGAGGCCCTATGAGGATAAGCTATCTTGTAGCAGAAGTCATCCTTGGGGCAGCTTGGATTCTTGCAATTTTTCGCGAGGATAATCAAGCCAATAATCATGCTGGATTATGTGATGTGTCAATTGTGTCACAATCCCCTAACTGCCCTATCATCAAATTATCGGATACTCCAGGATCTAGAATACTCAATTTTTTCTGTGAGAACAGACCAAAATCAACTTTTCTACATTTAAAATCGACGAAAAAATTAACTCAATAGCAAACAGCCTGAATCGCAAGCATTTTATCGAGGTCTGCGGGTGAAGCCATCACTATAAACTGCTCATGGTGACGTCACTCGCAGGCCCAGAATTTGAAGGAGACAGATTATGCTTGATTCTTTGCGGAAAATTGCTTGACAAAATCGCAAAAAAGCCTCAAAATAGAAATAATATAAATATTAAGAAGAGGGGTATTATCTATTGTTTTGATCCCACTCGAATTTGACGGAGCAAGAAAGAGTGTTTGAGTGTTTTGGAGTCCAAACCTTTTCACTACTTTATTGCTATTTACCCTGTCGCAACTTGAAATATCGAGAATATAATCTTATAATAAAACTTTCCATCAAATGAAGTATCACTCGACCCCCCTTTCTATTTGAAATTTTGTGGGTACATGTCACCGTCGCTTAGGGGTTGACAGGTAGGCGGGTTAAAATATCAATAACAATAAAATGGTTGAGGGATTTTTGATTATTCACCTAACATCTGAAAAAAAACGCGTCATCCAATTTCACTTTTGCTTCAGTTTCGGTCAAGTGACGGCCACTTAAGAATCTTAAATGTAACTTATGGTATTATCTCATTTTTCGTTAGAAAATTAAATTACAAAATCGGCAATGCCATATTTGCTTAGGCTTTGTTGAAGAAAATGATAAAAAATTACGAAGCGGAATATTCGATGATGCGTTCCGAAGTTATCACCTAGGTAAAACCTCGTGGGACATTCTGTATATACAGGATGGGGCACGATAAACGTCCCATCCAGGTTTTCTCAGGTGTTAGATGGTTAATCAAAAATCGCTCGATCATTTTATTGGTAGTTTCACCCCCTACCTGTCAACCCCTGAGCAGTGGTGACAGGTACCTCTAAAATTTCGAACCGAAAGGGGGGTCGGGTGATACGTAATTTGATAGGAATTTATTGAGATTTTTATCCTCGAAATTTTCAGCTGCCTTCCCAAAATTGCGGCTTGTAGAAGTTAGGGAAAAGTACATTGTATTACTCGAACCCATTTTTCCATTTGAAATTTTGCGGGTACCTGACACCCTCGCTTAGGGCCCGGGTTGACGTTGACAGGTAGAGGATGGAAATCACAATAAAATGTGTCCCCAAAAAAACGAAAAATAACGTGTTCGAGTGATTTTTGATTAATCATCTAAAACCTGTGAGACGAGACCTGAGAAAACCTAGGTGGGAAGTTTTTCGTGCCCCACCCTGTATAACTCAAAAACCATCTGGCATGTTTTCCTTCAAAACAATCAGTAAACATTCACTAAAACCTTCAGTAGCAAACTTTATCTTACTTTCGTTGTCTTTGGGAATGTCCACTGGCGGCTATTCTAAAAAATCGCCGCCACGACCGACGGGGGGCAGTTGGCCGATGCCTTCACATCCAAATTTGTTCATATTACATCGGTCTACCTCTGTGCCAAATTTGGTGCTTTTATCAAAAAGTGCACAATATATTGAAATATCTTCTACCTAAGCTGCCACACTATTGGGAGTTTGCGAATTTGAAATCCATTAAAAATGGTTAAAATAGAACTAGGGTTCTTCCTAATCAATAAAATTTGTACATGAACAGGATTCAACTTAAAACCCAATATACAAAAAATGCCCAAAGTTGAAAATTTCCACAAGGTGCGAATGTGGACAGTATCATGGCGAGCGCGAGCATAGAGGATAATACCATTGTATAAATAATACAGAACCATGCAACATTTTTGCTTCAATTTTTTTTAGAGAACGACTTACTAAAGATTTAGGTATGCGAATACATCCATTTCACTGTAATTTTCAGTGACAGACTACACCATTTCCAGTTTTAGTTCAAAATAGAAAAAGTTGATTTCAAAAAATATCAAATGTATTTCAAAGTCATCAATTGAATATCAAAAAGCATAAATTTGATTTCAATCTTTATGAATTTTATTTCAAAATACATCAAATGTATTTCAATATAACCAAATTTATTTCGAAAAACATCAAATGTATTTCAAATTAGTGAAATTTATTCCAAAAATGGTCAGTTTTATTTCAATGATTACCAATTCGGTTAAAAAATAAAGTATGGTTCTTATATCGTACCACCCTGTATCTCCCTTACAGTTTACAGTTTTTGATGATATAGAAATGATGATTTTGAAATACATCTGATTTTTTTGGAAGTATAAATGGTACAGTTTGAAATACATTTGATTAATTTGAAATACAAATGATATATTTGGAAATAAAAGTGACAACTTGGAAATTAAAATATAAATTTTTGAAATAAAAGTGATTATTTTGAAATACATTTTACCGATTTTGAAATACTGTTGGAAATGGTGTAGTCCTGGGCCGGTATTCTGGTCCTCGAAAACGCTCACCGCTTTTCAGTCGCTCGGCACTTCTAATGTAATTTTACATTGAAAGTGCCGAGCGACTAAAGCGGTGAACGTTTTCGGGAACGAGAATACCGGCCCAGGTCTATAGAAGTAGAACTGTTAGTTATAGAATATTATGTTCATTCGAGGAATAGTAATGGACTCAGAGTCCATTCTCCTATTCTTCGAAATTACATTCCTATAGAAAAATAAATTGTCAAGTATCTTTGCATTTTTACTATGTAATTAGAGAGAAAATGAGAGGTAATTTCAAAATAAAACACTAATTAAAAATTGTAATACACATACAACTGTTTATTGAGACATGTTAAATCATCAGTCATCTTGTCAAATTATTTTTGATAGACGTTATTCGATATTATTAACAACAATGCAGTGCAGAGCCAAAAAAACTCCGAGTTAATTTACCAAGAAACTACATAATGTACAGAGGGGGGCGGCACAATAAAATCGCCCAATGCCTTTTGCCACAGTAGTATGGTGTGTGTTTGTTTTTGTAGTAGTTGCAAAAAAAAAAATTGAATATTTTGTGTTACTATGTAGGCGTACAAATCTATGATAATAGTCAAAGAACATAAAAATTATTATTAGCTACATCACACTAAAAACAAAAAATTATTTTACCAATAATAAGTTGAAATAGGGAGGGGCAAATGCCAGGAGAAGCGAAAAGTAAATAATAAAAAGCAAATAACATACGGACAATACAAAACCAAAAAAAAAAGTTAAAAAAATATCGATTAATATAAAGATAAACAAAAAAGTAGAACTAAAATTGCAATCAAATGAAAGTTTCAGCTGTAATAATTATTATTATTTTAAATTCCGGGCCACATCTGAGACTTTTGGGGAATATGCGCGCGCAAAATTATCTAGATATAATAATTGTGGTGTAATTTCGTGTGTGGTGGGGGAGAAACAGAAGTATATGTCGTAAGAAATTACATACTGCTAAAATACAATCATCACAATGCAAAAAATGCATTACCAAAGATAAAATATATAATCATATTATACATACATAATAAAAAAAAAAAGATTACTCGCTACTATAAAAATGTAGTATTTGCAAATCGAGTTATATTTTGTGTAAGTTTTTTATGCCCTTGTACACTGCTAATTGATGCAAGCGATACGACAATTTGGCAAAACAGATTGCAACTTCTATAGATTTGTAAAAAGTGTCAGAAATGTGGGAAAACTATAATTATTATTTTTTTATAGCTTACGATACCTTGTTGCAACCTTTTCTGCCATCCTGTAAATTTCCAATAAAATTTTAAAAAATTAAAAAAATAAATACTCTTTTCAGACCTAAACCTAATTTGGCACGTTACATCAATCAGCAGCGTTTAACTCGAACCTCGCTAAAAGTTTATATACAAGGTTTCACTTAAAACAGCGCTTTTGAAGCTATCCAAACAAATAGGACGCCCTGTATAAGATGAGGCGCGAACAGAGGGCATTATTTAGTATTTTAAACAATAAAAACAAGTCCCAAGTCAATCTTGGAACGATATAAATAACGCAATTATTATTATCATTATATAAAGAATGGCGAAAAAAAGAAAACATAAATCAACTCATACAATTTAATATTAGACAACTAAACAGGTCGTATTATTATTAATTTAACAAATTTGGAACCCCAAAAATAACAATTTTTTTTTCCAAAAAGTATATAAAGATTATTATAAAAGAATGCAGATAAGGCAATTTTCATTATTTGAAATTATTTTAACAATAATTATTAGTAGCAGTTTTTTTTTTTGGAGACACCGCAACTTTGGGTGACCTAGAGTCCGAGACAGTTTGAACCAATTTAGGACGAAACATTACTAATTTGTGGAGGAATTGTGTCACAAATATTTACAATAATATTATTAGAACACCTAAGATTATGCAACATGCAGTGGACAATGTTTTTATTTAATAAAAACGCTATGCCGATAATAATTAGATTTTTTGGAAAAGTGTATAAATATTGAGCATTTTGAAATTTCTAGGGAGATCAAATATTGTAATGACATTTTTGATTTAGAAGCTCTAAATGTTCTATTATATTTAAAATCCAACAAGCATTTTTCATAAAAATTCAAAAAATAAAGGTTTTTGGTAAAAACATCCAAAAAGGAAACAACAAGTTTTAATTGAGCTCATATTAGAACCCCAAAAATCAAAAACGCAATATGGATTGGCTCAATTTGAAACTCCCTCGTGCCGAAAGCGTTCGTCCAAAATGGTCTCAACCGTCTCGGCCGACAGCGCTCGGCATTCACTCGCATTCACGCTCGCACTCTCTCTCGCCGTCCATTCTCTCACGCACTCGCCTCGCGCTGCCTAACTCCAAGCCCCGTACGAGTCTTGGTACCAATGGTCGCCGTTCAGGGGCTGTTGTGCCAGGGGTTGGCCGCCCCAAGCCCCCTGTCCGCCGCCGCCACTTTGGAAGCGTCGCTTAGTCTCCCCTTGATTCTGGTGACCCCCATCGAACTTTCGTTTACCTGCTATATACAAACAAAAAATTTATCAGTTTATAAAGTTATAGCGTCAGTTAAAATTGGTGTAGGCAAGTGAACCATGTCACGACGTCATATCTGGTCATCGGAAATCAGTGCTAATGACCAGACATAAAACACAGTTGTATGAAACCCTTAGATTTGGGCGAGGTTTGCATTTTCTACGTTAATTTTGTTTTTGTGATATCCCATCTACATATTTACAGTTTTGTTAGTTAAAAAAATGCAAAACTTAAAATATTTGTTCAGTTAGAGGTTTTTTTTAGTTACTCAAAGCTAAATAACGTACATGCTGCACTCCAATAAAACATCGCTTCAGGACAAAAAGAATAAAAACTGATGAACAATAGGTTAGGAGGATACTGGATGGGTGGAATGTTCTAGGACACACAAGTCACTGGAAAAAAGGACAAAGAATATTAAAAGGTGAAACTGATTTACTAAAATAGTTTACATTCAGCAACAATATAGAAGAAATAATATATTTCCTAAATAATGATGTACAGTGTGTCCCATTTTGGTTGTACATAAGGGATATCGCAGTTGCTAATGGTATCCGCGAGACATTGAATTTTTTTCTTTAGAATGAGGAAAATTTATTAACGGCAACGCCGCGCCGTGCCTGTGTGTTTGTGGCCCTTTCGGGCCTTTCCCACCACAAGTTATTCTCTTATCTTTGCTTTGTTCTCTTGACCTACTTTTAGATTTTAAGAAGAAATGTACTTTTTTATTTTGTCAGTATAAAAAGTTAAGTATCGAAGAGTTCGTTGAAAGCACAGACCTACTTGCCAGCCGGCTATAGTTGAGTTTCTTTGGAGCCAAAATCTGACAATTTGAAAGTTCGGGACAGTGCGATTTTCGAAAGTTTATTGAAAACCGCGAAAGAGGAGGAACTTGGTGCAGAGGTAGACAGTTGTGACGCGTATACCAAGCGTTTTATTGAGCTGAATCTAAAGTGTTCTAGGCTTTACGAGGATGGAGGATCTGTTAAAATTTAATGAGTTGGGTAGAGTGGCTGCAGTCAGGTGAGAACTGTGCGTATGGTAGCAGCTGAAAGCCAAGGTAAGCAAAATTTCAAATTACCTCGCGTTGGTTGTCTTTTTGGGGACGGTTCCAAAAAATCCATGATGACCCTGATATTGACAATAACGATAAAATCGAATATTTGGTATAGACTACGGTCCCTGGAAGCAGAGCACGACAGCTTGTGGAAGGTTTTCCTTCAATTAGCGAAAATTATGGTAAAATTGTTGATAGCATGTGTAGTAAGTTTGACAACAAGGATATGCAGATTGAAGTGTACATCAGAGAAGCTGTTGAAGTAAATTTTGGATAAGGCTATACCTGCAAACAGAAAATTGATATTGCTACGCTCTACGATAAGATTGAAACGCAGCTGCGGGCACTCGAGACGCTAGGTATCACAACGGGTAGCTGTTTTGCTATGCTTTTTCCCATTAATTGAATCCTGTTTACCTCTAGATCTACTTAGAATTTGGCAGCGTTCGCCTTGTTCCATAGCCAGCGCCCCCAATAGTCCTGATGTCTCTGTGTTTGAGTTGGCGTTAAGACTGAGGGCTGATGAGCTTTCTCAATAATGAAGTGGAGAACGAGCAAAGTATTAAGTTGGTCACCGAGAGTTTTGGTTTGACAAAGCGTATGTCGGGAGTCAGTGAAGATAATTTGAGGAAAAGAAGATCTGCTAAAAATGACACTGTCGTTCCGACCACCAGGGGTCTTGAAAATTGTGATATTGCCAAATGTATTTTTTGTAGTGGCTTACATGAAAGTGACTCATGTTTTAAGACTCAAAAACTATCCATGGAGGAAAAACGAAATATTTCAATCATCATCATCAAAATAGGTCACTCAGCACAAAGATGCAGAGGGCGCTTCCACTATATTTTATGTGAGAATTTCTACTGGGTATTGATGGGTCCTAGTTTGGGAGTCAATATAGCTGTTTCAAAGCAAGAGCAACGTGGTAATAGTTATCAAATCAATGAAAGTCGAGAAGAAAAGACTGCTGAACTCCGATCAGGTTTTGGCAAATCACACTAACACACATGTATTTTTGCAAACCCTTCAATTTGAAAGGTTCAAATGGGTACAAGTCAGTAAGGGCATCAGCTCGGATATATACCAAAGCGCTCAGAAAATGTGATCCACTGTTTGTTTGGAGGTCGAGTTTATGAGCACAAATATTATGACGTCATAGTGTGTGGTGAAAAGTCTATTTTTATCATTGACACCCTTGATCAGCCAATTATTTGTGGTGATATTTCCCCCTTTTTTAGTGGTCAGTAGTCAACCGAGTTAGCCAGTCTGGCCATTGAACTTTCCGATTCCCGAGATCCTGGGCCGATCCAGTTATTGTTGTTAGGTGCTGACGTTGCTGGCATATTGTATACCGGGGGTCATAAATATTTGTCCTGTTGACTGACAGCGATAGAGACTAGGCTAGGATGGACTCTTATGGGCAAAGGGGCCAGTAATGTGGAGAGAAATACTAGTGCAGCTATCAATCTTTTTGTGAAAGACGCTTCAATAGAGCGACTTTAGGTCCTTCGTATTGAAGATCCAACTGAGCACACAAGCAGAGAAGAGATGGCTCAAGCAGCTAAAGATTTGTTTTTGGAAACTATTCGTATCAATGAGGAGGGTCCTTATGAGGTTAGGCTTCCATGGGTAGATGGGCACCACAAGATGGCCTCAAAAAAAGGTTGAGGTCTAATATTTCGAAGCTGAAACGAGATGGCTTGTTCGATCAATGTGACCAAGTGTTCAAAGAAGAGAATAAGGCGGAGAAAATCATTGAACAAGTGGACTCACCAGTTTCTATTGATAAAGGCAGCTATTAGTAGTCAAGGAGAATAGTGCCACTATTAAATTGAGACCTGTGTTCGATACGCCTGCACATGAGAGATAAGCCGTCACTTAATCATTGTCTCGAAAAGGGCTTAAATATTGTTGAACTCACTGCTTTTAAAATTTCGAAAGTACAAAGTGGGAGTGGTTTTCGACATACGCAAGGCGTTTTTGCAAATCAGCGTGCACGATAATGACTTAGAAATTTCTATGGGAGGATGATTAGCACAATGAAGTTGTTTTTCGATTCAGGCGAGTCGTTTTTGGAGTGACTAGCAGCCCATTCTTGTTAGGTGTGACGCTTGAGTACCATCTTGATCAAACTCTTGAAAAAATTGGCGATTATTCTCGTGACACCATTGAGAGATTACCGACGTCACAGCTTTTATGTGGACAATTGCGTCACAAGTGTTCAAGATGACAACACCTTGACATCAATTATTCGAGAGTCGGTGACTATCATGGCATAAGGGTAGTTCAACCTGAAAGGGTGGGAGCCCTCTAGAATGGGTAACGCCGATACAGATGCAGTACTTTGTCCTGTGCTTGGTTTAGATTGGCACCCCCACGAAGATTTTTTGGCTCTTAGTCAAGGCTTTTTAACTACTAATGTTGAGAATTTGGTAATTACCAGGAGAGAGTTTCTGTCAGTGACTCAAAAGGTGTTTGATCCTATCGGTTTTAGGACGCCAACAATTTTAGTTGTTGCAAAAACTGTGGAAAAAACAATTAACCTGTGGATGAAGAGACTGCGCAGTTCTTTGAGAAGTGGATGCATGAACTACCTACCACATTTGTTTAAAATTGAAATTCCAAGATGGAGCGTGAGTGGAGGAGTTTAGTTCAAGATGTCAGCATACATACATTTTGCCATGCCAGTAAGGAATCGTATAATTTTCTTGCGAGTCGTCGTGCAAAACAAAGTGAATATTTTTCTATTAGCAAGTAAGACTAGAGTTTTTCCTTTGAAAAAAATGACAATTCCTAGGCTTGAGCTGCTGGCTGCTGTCATAGGTGCAAGGCTTTTCAGCCATATTAGAGAAAACTTGAACAGTAGAGCAAAATATTATTTCTGGAATGATTCCTCTACTGTAATTTCGTGGATTCAAGGAAAAGACCAGTGGGGAACCTTGTATGGAACCGGGTGCCCGAAATTAAATCCAGCAGAAAAATGGAGGCATATAACAGGGGTTTCCAATGAAGCAAACCTACCTACTAGAGGTTGTTTTCCAAAGCAGCTTTTTGATCTGAAGTGGTGGGAGGGGCCCTGCATGGCTGCACCAGGATCCTAAACAATGGCCTTCAGAAAACGCAATGTTTAATTAGGAAGAAATTGCGCAAGAACGTCGGAAACAGTTGGTTTTGGCACTCGCTGATGTAAAAATCCGAGGAGAATGGAATTTGCTGTATTTTTCCAACTAAATCAAGACTGTTCGGATACTTGGTTTGATATTCCGTTTTTGACACAATATCAAGCATTCACGTGAGAAGAAAAATGGTGAGTTACAATCTGAAGAATTTGCTGCTGTAGAGTCATTTGCGTTCAAGTTGATCCAACAACAATATTTTTCTGGAGAAACCGACAAGAACATTAGCAATCTTCAGCCATTTTATGATGAAAATGGAGTGCTTAGGCTGAAGTCAAGAGTGTCTAACAGGGAAGATATCGAGGATTACCGATAGTTTTGCCCCCTAAGCACCCTTCAAGGTTTGATTTGGTTCGAACTCAAGAAATCATGCCATGTGGAGACCCAAGGTCTATTGAATCTTCTTCGAGAGAGGTACTGGATTTTGGGAAACGGCGCAGTGTTCGAAATGTCACATCCAAGTGTGCCATCTGCAAGAGGCAAAATGGAAAGCCGTTTGTGGTTCAGTCGCCACCTCTATCTGTACGGCCGTCCCATTTGAGGTCACTGATGTTGATTTTGCGGGTCCGATTTTGTTCAGGAATGGACAAAAGGCTTAGGTCTTTCCACCAGTGCAGTCTTCTGCACGGTTCATTTGGAATTAACTACATCACTTACGACTGTGAGTTTTTTACAAGGACAATGGAACTAATTTCGTTAGTGCCGAAAATCCTGTTCTGCACTTGATTGGGACAACATTTTATGTTACACTAGTATTCAACGTATTGTGTGGAAATTTTACCCGCCACCCCTACCATGGAGGTGGTTTTTGGGAGCGCTTGATTGGCGTTGTTAAACAGTTATTACGGAAAAGGCTGGGTCGCGCTAGTTTGGAATTTGAGGACTTGTTGACTGTATTGTGCGATTATGAGGCAGTTGTTAACGCTCGGCCTCTAACTCATTGTTCGGAATAATCCAAAGACTTGGTTCCTCTTACTCCTTCTATGTTTTTGCGTGAACAATTTAATTGATATTCAATAGTGCGGTTAGAGACTACCAGAGGTGAAATGTTGAGACCACTGCAACGTCTCTATCCTTTAAAGTGTGCTGATTTGATGACGTTGCCTGCTGTTCCTGAGTCCGTTACGCTAGAGCTGCCTGGTGGACATATGAACGTGACAGAATCACATTACATTTCACTAATGAGAAAAAAAAAACAAAAACCCGTGCAACCAAAATGGGACACATTGTACAATTTATTCTATATAATAATTCTGTGTATATAGGAAAAAGGACGTTTTTCCTATTTGGGTCACACCAACCAACTGATTTTTGGTCGGCCTATTGAAAATCAGTATTAAAACGGCATAATGTTGGTATTCGATTCATAGATGGCGCCAAGACCGAAAGTCTCCCATCGTTCTACACAATAATGTTCATCTTCTATCGTTGCTGAATGAACCATGATGCAAACGGCAAATTGTCATAAAAGTCGCGAAAAAAAAAATGCAGAAGCAGAATGATTTAGAAAATACATAAAAATGTTGATTATGAATCATATAGGATAGGAAACTCCTAAATGGCAGAAAATTACATGTAATTAAATGTATTTTCTAAAGCACAACTAGCAAAATTCGATTAGTATAAAATTAATGCAGCATTAGTTACCTTGTAAACTTGCCCCCTTGCCTCGGGCCACCCCACGAGCGGCCTGGCGCGCCGCCCCACGGGCCGCGACCGCGCCCCGTGCCCCCCGGACCTGTGCCGCCCCACGGGCCGGTTGCCCACCGGCTCCCCGGCCACGTGCCGCCGCCCCACGCCCACGGCCAGCCTATATTAGAAAAAAATAGTTGCATGTTAGTCAAACGAAGCGTCTTACAACGACAAAAAATAAATAAATTGCGTCTGTTTGCAGACAAATCGGAAATCGTTCGCTACGATTGGTCTGCAAACAGAATTTTTGTTGATAGAAAAATGACAAAAGTTCACTTTTAGTTTTTGTCATTTTTCTTAATTAAGAAAAAATAAAACTATGAAAATAATATTGCACTCAAAAATAAAAATTCATTTAGTAACAGAAAATAATAAGTCTTTGACAACATTAAATACAGGGTGATTCCGCATAAGCTCTCCACTATGACGTGACCCTTCAAGGAACCCCAGAAGAATTAATAGTTGAAATAATATAAAGTTACTCTTGACAAAGTTATTAGAAGAACACGCAGTGATGAAATTGGCAACATCCTAAATACTTCCACCTATATTGGATTACACCTCTGTTCTAATAATGAACCTTGTGCTTGCAAAGTTCATTTTAAAAGGTAGAATCCAAATAATGTGATTTTTTTTGTCATAAATTAATACAAGACATCTGGAACTTTATAGGGAATATCGCAGTCTTAACAAAATTCGGAAATAAAGAAGTTGACTTCTCAACTTTACTCCTTCATATCAGCAAGCTTGGTCGAGGAGGATTTTTTCACTATTTTTCTGGGGTTCCCTGAAGGGTCCCCTACGACGTAACGGAGAGCTTATGCGCCATTTTGGAATCACCCTGTATATGTTTTGCAAAATAATGTTATAGAAAAGTGATTTTTTTGCTTTTCATAAATTTAATCGAAATAAAAACACCCATCTTTCTTTTGGATAAATAAAAACAAGTAAAGAAATAATTATAAGGGAAACATCTCTGAAAATATATTTTTTCTACTACCGTGGGTGAAGTACTCACTTTACGCACTATTCAGAAGACGTAAAATTCCACGCACTAGTGCGTAAAGTAATTCACTTCACACACTGGTGCGTAAACTAATTTCAATGACAGATGTTGACACTGTCAATTTAGTATTTTTCTGGTAAATTACTTCACGCACTAGTGCGTAAGGTGAAAATACTTCACGCACTAGTTCGTAAAGTATTTGTCTAAATCTATTTTTTCACACATATCTGATTGGTAGTAGAAACATTTTTGTATGCAATACGTGCGTAAAGCACCTTTTTTCACTCATGTGATTGTCAAAATCCACATTCGTGAAAAAAGGTTCACTATACACACTCGTTGCATAAATAACTACTATTTGCTATTACCGTGCGTAAAATACTCACTTTACGCACTGTTCAGAAGACGTAAAATTTCACTTCACGCATTAGTGCGTAAAGTAATTCACTTCATACACTAGTGCGTAAAGTAATGTCAATGACAGATGTCAACACTGTCAATTTGGCATTTTTCCGTGCTTTATAGTCGCTCAAATTTTTGATCCAGAAGCCGCTACCAAGTTAAATTATTCACCAAACGAATGCTACACTCGCAATATCATGCTGAAAAAATGTTTAATTCAAACAAGATGGAGAAAGACTGGAAAACGAAAAAATCAAAAAGCATTTCCAGGCGGAAATAGAGCACCGAATCTAAGAAATGACAAACACAGATGACGTCGACACGAGATGGAAAGTACTATCCGAAATAAGAGTGACAAAAATAGAAACCACTGGTACAATTCGCATTATAAGAAGGAGGAATAAGGAGAGAAATAATGCAAAAACTAGTAATGATGCAATATCCTATTGAAGACAATAACAGTAAATTCAGACAACTAAGAAAAGAGGTTAATAAACTACTAAGGAAAAAAAGAGAACAACATGGATAGGAGTTGGAAGAGCTGGAAGTCGATGGAAGGAACATTACCAGGAAATTCTATAGGACAATAAGAACAAGAAAGAATAGCTTCAGACCCAGAACCAACAACATCATCAAGGACGACAATAGAGATCTAGTAACCAGGCAAAATTGAATGCTGAAAACATGGAAAGAGTTCTTTGAACAACTACTTAACCAGGGTTATACAAATAACGAACAACCGGCCACCTTCCAAACTACGAACGAAAATTGAGGGCGCTATATGAAAGTTGAAAAACAATAAATCTCCTGGTAGACACGAATACCGCCGAACTCTTGAAACATGCCGGAAACACAGCCACATCCCAACTACATGAACTCATCTGGAAAAACGATCCTAGAAGACTGGAAAGAAAGCATAAAAATCCCCTAATACAAAAAAGGAGATAGAATGATATGCAAAAAAGTTCTATGAAATATACCTAATCCTGATAAAAAGAGAGTATCAGTGCGGCTTTCGGATAAACCGATTAACAACCGACCAACTATTCGCAATTAGACAGTTGCTAAAAAAAAAGCTGGGAGTTCAATAGGCAGATACACCAACTGTTTATAGATTTTCAATACAGGGCCTGGATCCTGGATTCCGAACCCACGATTCGATAGTATCGTCCCATATAAAATAGACGATATTATCGAATCGTGGGTTCGGAATTCGGGCCGAAGGCCTATGATAGTGTGAAAAGAATTAAGATCTCAAAGGTAAAGTCCTCGTAGCCTTTTTGCAGTTATGCGGGAAATTGCCTGGAGATTTGTAGGGTCTGAAGTTATCAGTCGCCCATTTTATTCTGTTCATTGTGAAGATTTTCCCTGCCAGTCTTTTGCTTCTTCCGTTAGGGCTTTTGAGATCCTTCGAAACCAAATTATCTTTTATTTATAGTAAATATCTGTTTTGCCTGTTACGTGTGTTTTTTTTTATTTCAGAGAGTAATATCAGTGAAATACCAGTTCAATAAACGTCCACGAACAGCTTTTCATTCATTAGATTACATGAAATGCTCAATTTGTCCTGCTATTGAACAGGGTGTTCGGAATAACTTGAAGTACCATCGTCACCAAAAGTAACTGGGCAGTGGGACAGCGTCATTAGCTCTTGTACAGGGTGTCCAAGATTCGATGGTTTTGGCGGGTATTTCTAGAGGAGTTTGAAAAAATCTGACCCCCACTTGCGAGCCTCGATTTTCAAGAGAAGTTGACCGGTAAAACCCGCATCTCGATTCGTTTTTAAGCTACAAGGGAAAAAGTTGATCAAATTTTCATAAATATAAAAGTTATAGACCCCCTGCCAAACTCCGAACTTTTCAAAAACCCCTCGTAACATAAAAACGACTCGGCATATCGGAGATGCGTTTTTCACCAGTCAATTTTCTTTGAAAGTCGACGCTCGCAAGTGAGGGTTAGATCTTTATCAACTCCTTTAGAAATACCCGAAACCCCCCTCAAAACCATCGAATCGTGGACACCCTGTACTATTATATGATTTTTAGTGTCAAATATTTGTCAAACTATGAATTAAATGAAGATGGTAGAATTAGACCAAGAGATTATTATAATTATTTTTGTCCCAGATATACTTTTGGTGCCGATGGTACATGGAGAAACCATTGAAGATATACAGGGTGGCTCAAATGGGAGAAAAGTTGTTATGACAGATTATTTGTAGGTGCCCGATTGCGCAACTTTTTCTCCATTTGGTCCACTCTGTATCGTCAGTGGTTTCCCAAATCCCTATGTACTTCAAGCAATGAACTACAAACTACACGTACCTAAAATGGCCCGGCCTATCTATAAAATGAGGCAAATTGAGATGGAGAATGTGGGGGATAGATAGATAGATAGATCTTATTTATCTTATGGGCCAATTATGAAAATTTTTTTCTTGTCTAAAAAACATTATATTTGAGGTTAGGAGTATACCAAACTTAACAGCAATGAACTAAAGAGAGAAAGGTATTCCCCACTATAAAGCTATCTTTGGACGAACAAGAGAGATAACAAATGCCATCTCCGACAACAGTCGGTGACATTCCTGGTACACGTGTAGTTTATAGTTCATTGACTTCCAAGTTATTCCGGACACCCTGTAGCACGTCAACTGAAAAGCCACTCTTTTCTACCGTAGATGGAAAAGGATAAAGTTTCAAGGGAAATAGGTTACTGATATTTTAATAATATACTTGATTTCCTAACACACTGTCGAAACAAATAAAATATATAAAAAAAAATACTTTCAAGTATCAATTAGTTCTAAAAATTGAAAAAAACCAAGCGGTAAATCTCCGTAAGAGTAGGTAGGTATAAGGAAGTAGAGGAAAGTTCAGAAAGGGCAAGGAAATACGGAAAAGTATGAAAAACAACGTCAAAGGAAATAAGTACATATTAAGAAGAATAAGGTACACGAGAATTAAAAAAAAAAAGTACGAAGAATTTTGAGAAAGTATGATTGCACTGAAGGAAGTATAGGCCAGCAGGCAAGTAATAAATAAAGGGGGTACTGGAAACTATTCCAAAGTTATTGATATTTTGGCATGTCGTTTGTGGATAGTCTGTGGAGTAGAATTTGAGTCTTCGACCTCGAGGACCCTGTGCTTACTTAGGGGGAAGTCGAAAGACATAAAAATTTTCAGTTTTTTGCTCATAACTTCCAAACAATGCGTTTTTAGCGGAATATACCTATTTATAAAGTTGAAGAAAATTAAATTTCCTTCAAATTTAACAGGTCAAAAATATTCTTTATCGCAATAGTAAACGTGGTTTAAAGATACAAAAAAAAATGTCAACTTGTCAAAAATATCTTCCCATCTGAACATAATTCAAACCAAGCATGGGATAAACATCTTTTATCCTCGTCTCTTTCACGTGCACTCACAGTCTACTGTACCCCTGAATTATTTTTTTATTGTATCCTATTTTAATAATTATTTTTGGAAAATAGAACTTTTTTAATTTTGATGTCATCTGTACTGAACTCGCCTATCTAATGACCATCCACCTTGCCTGGATACAAAAGAGCTATTCTCAATAGGCACTAGGAGCTGTTGTGAACTGTCACTTAGCTCGATCTATTGGTATCACCTGTATAAAGACCTGTTTGGAAAAAGGGAATTTTCAAGACATGAAATTGAAACAGAAATATAAGGTTGTTTCTTTAGCATTTGTTTCTTGTTGTGTGAAAATTAAAGACAAAAAGTTCACAATAGACCCTCTCACTCTCTTTTAACGGATTCACATAATAAAACAATCAGATGATGACCTTGGAAACTTGTTGAAATACGAACTAGCCTCCTTCCCGATGTCTCACTTCACAGAGGGAGGTATGCACAAGGGCACAAAGTCAATGTTGTATGCGGCATTCACTCCTATACAAGAACCAGTAGACTTTGGCAGCAGCAAATGCAGTTATTTATGGTGGATACCTGCTACATGAGATTGTGTGAAGCAAATCAAGAGATACGACATTTGAATTGTGCCAGAATTACGTCGATTACGTTCAAAGACACTTTGGGAGCAATGCTATAGTGGTTTTTGATGGGTGTCTGTTGGCATAAGTTACCAAATTAGTAGAACGATATCGACGATCTTTGCTGCACTCATAGTCAAAGTTTGTGTTTTCCAAAGTTATGGGACAAAAACCTGCATTTCTATGCTATTTTTATAATCTGAGAAATTACTTGAATTTTTGAATCACTATATCTCATCAGTAACTATTGGATCGAATACTTTTGGCCAGTAAAATTTGAAGGAAATTTGAAGTTCTTCAACTTTGTTGAGAAGTTATAAGCAAAAAACTAGAAAAGTCCGATAATTTCGAGAGAATTTTTCTCTATCTATGAACCACTGTATCTCGTTTACTATTGTGTTAAATAATACGTTTGACTACTGAAATTTGAAGGAAATTTAATGTTTTTCAACTTTATAATTAGGTGTATTCCGCTAAAACGCATAGTTTAGAAAATATAGGCAAAAAACTGAAAAAGTCCGAAAATTTCGTGGTTTTTCGACTGCTCCCAAGCTAGCACAGGGTCCTCGAGGTCGAAAACCGAGATTTTGCTCCACAGATTACCAACAAATGACATGCCAAAATAACATTAACGTCGGAATACTTTCCATCAGAAAGTACTTGCCTGCTGGACTAGTAATAAAAAAAAGGATTGTGTACAAAACTGATTCAGTGATTTGTTGACCACTCGAACAAAACATTGCGGTCAATGTACATACAGGGTGGTTCAATTTCACTCCGAGGCTCAAATTTCATGAAATCTTCATTGATGCAAACCGCATTTTGATATCTTCAACAGGTTTGCCACTAAAAGGCAGAATCCAATAGCGTACGTACTCGATTTCCAGATGCCTATCTTTTTTTTTTGATAGAACACCTCATTGGATACTTGGATAGCTCTATTTGTGCTGGTTTAAAAAAAAATGATATAAGATTTAAGTTTATCTTTTTTTCAGGACCGGTTTAGTCACCTTCTGATAAATCTGTCAGGTATATGCAATCTAACGGATAAAAACGCAATCTGTAATCCCATTCGACTGCGAGTTATCCGCCGACCAATAGAATGATAGAACAGTTAATTTATTTGGCAGATAGTTACCAGCAAGTTTATCTGAATAAATAAACCGGGCCTTAGTCATAAGAAATGATGTGTTAGAAAGAGACCTTTTTCATTCTCATTTCAGATACAATTTTTTTCCTCAAAAACTGTTACAGATAAACATTATCATTATATCATCATAAACAATGAGTTTTTAATATAGGTATGTGTCCTATTTAAAAAAATCGGTCATTGGTCAATATTTCGAATCGGGAACAAATAGAAAAAAACAGAAAACGAAGAATGAAATGTGAGCCTCAGAGTGGGTGATTCATTTTCATCTTTTGTATCTCACTCCTATTAAAAGTGTCCAAATTGGACCACCCTGTAGATACAATTTTTCTGGTGCATAAAAATATATTGTATTACAGCTAATATTTAGTATGTATTCTTTATCGAAATACGAGTGGGCGAAATGGATTTGTTGGGATTTTTATGGTATTAAATTTTTAATAAAATCAAGTCATTTATAATAAAATTATTGATTCAAAAGGTGCACAATATAAAAATAAAATTTAAAATATTAACAAAAATAATTAAATAGTATTTTAATACTTACAATAAATTCAGGAAAGGATTGAGGATAAAATAAAGGCAGAAAGGGGGCATCAACAAACCTGAACTATGCTTCTTTCACTTCTTTCAAAATAAAAGAGTTCTGGATTGCACCGATTGTCATCAAGTCCCTAACAAAATAACAACATTAAACCTTTTAATTATTCATCAAAAAAAAAAGATGGGTGTTCAAACAGTTAGACAACACATGCGGTTGTCTACCTGAAACTTAAAAAAAAAATCATAAAGGGTTATCCAAAATGTATAAAAATTATCCTCTAAATATTGGCAATATAAAATAAAAATAGCTTGGCAAAACTAGTAAAAAATAATGCCATTAGTGCAATAATAACTGAGGTAGGTACGCCGCGGCATCAAAATCCTCGCTTCATAATATATAACATAAAATATAAGCAAAAGCATAAAGCAAAAGCAAAGCGTTCTAAAAGCGACTAATTAAAACAAGCCAAAGGAATTAAAAAGGGACACAACGTCATTAATATTATTAATAAGCGTGAACAACAAAAATAAAAAAAACACGGCCCAACAAAAATAAGACAATAACTCACAAATTCATAAAACAAAAATAAACGGAAAACATTATTGACAGCTGCAGTACATATAGTTTTCCTTTTAAGCAACCTAAAAATAAAAGTCTGCCATCTTCAACACTGAAGATCAAAGACATTGAGGCGTATCAAAACAAAAATCACAATCAGATGGTGTATGGGTTAGTGTGGATCGGCGTGGCACGTCCCAGTTTTTTGGATAACCCTGCAAGCGGCTGTGTTACACTAAGGACCATCTTCCTCCTGATTAAAGTGTAACACTGCCTTAAGAGCAACATCATATCTGAGCCAGCTCGTCAGTAGCAGGCTCGCAGAAATTTTTAGTTTTGGACGGCAATTTTAACACACACTTTTCCCGGCAGTCAGCGACAAATTTTGAAGTTGACTCAGATATGATGGTATTTGACTGTGGCGGCTACGATTTTGTTGTTAGAAATTGGTTCTGTCACATTCTCTCATTCGTCATCTTTCAAACACGCTATACATGCTAAAGCAAAATATATATATATATATATATATTTTTTTTTTTTTTGAAAATTAGCTGTTGTTAGAGCACGACATCAAATGCATCGATTGCAAAACTTATAAATAATATCATACAAACCATGATTAGTAACAAAAGATGTGAGATGCGCAGGTGCATGTATGCTATAGTTACAGGTTAAGTTTGCCAGAGTCGTTATACCGCCACAATCAAAAACCTTTATTCGACCAATTTCAGCGATTTGCAAGGTTGTGTTATAAGGCAGTATTTAGGTTAGTTGGAGAAAACACGATTTAGCAAGTTGGAACGACTAAGTTTGGAGATCTAACAGGTTTAATGTTATGACAGATAAAAACTTTTCTGATCAACTGAACATAATTTTTAGTCATAAGGTCGAGATTTTGCATGAGAATCACATTTTCAATGAAAGATAGTCCAAACTTAATTGCGAAAGAGTTTTGAAGTTATGCTGGTATTAATAGGTAATTACAAACAAGAATTATTCAACTTTACATTGAAAAGCATTTTGTTAGATTTTACCATTGCAAATCGCTAACTGGTTAATTTTGAATAAATCAACGAGTGCCCCATCAAGATAACATTATCAAGTTCACGAAAAAGTCAATATTTGATGTGACACAAACGTCTATAAGCTAATAAAAAAAAAATCGCCAAAAAAAAAGAAGTTATTCATAATTATTATTATTGGCCACCCACCGGCTGTGCTGGCGTTCGGCCTTGCGCACCGCGACTGCGCCCCTGCGTCGCAGGTGGCGCCGTTGTAGTCGACGCGGGCTGCTGGTAGTCATAATACGTATAGTCCTCGTATCGGTAATAGTCATCGTAATAGGGATCGCTGTAGCCGCCTCGGTAATCCCCATAACCGTAATAGTCATAATCATAATCTACAAAAGAGATATAAGATGCCACTCTTGCCGGTATTACATCCTAATATTGGTACCCTTAGAGATTTATCTTAACAATGAATGATGTAATACCATTATGAGTAGCCTAAAATTGCCCTCTTAAGCCAACTGAAATTATTAAAGTTCGGGCCGTTATGTCTTACGTCGGGCCCGATTTTATTTCAAATCACCAATGGTAAAATACTGTGAGCATGCCGGGAAAAGTTTAAATCCTAATTAAAAATAATAAACAGAACAAAGAAAACAATACCAATAACAAGTACTTTGAGCTAGTTTTGCTCCAAATATTTACGTCTAACTACCACGACTACTTTAAAATCAAAAATATTGAATTTGAAGTTCTGTAATCAATTCAGAGTTTTCTTATGTTACATTTTGATTTTGTATGAGATCACTATAGCAATTCTGTCTGGTAACTGGATTAAAAAAAAAAGGGCCGTTATTTCAATGTCACCTGAATTGGATGATCCCAGAATAACGTTAAATCATCCCTAATACAAGTTAAACCACCTTGGAACTATTATAGTGTACAAGCATTTGGGATTCCAGTATGTTATGTATTGTTTCAATGATGCAATCTGCTGATATTTTTAATATACCGGTGTTGTTTAATAGAATGTCTTCGCAGATTCCGTTGCATGTGATCACAATGTTGGCTGAGCATATATCCAGCTATTTGGCGTATACAGTATACTAGCTGCTTCCATATCATTGTGGTTATTTTAGTCTTTTGAATTGGACATTCTGTTCCTTGATGTCTTTGATAAATGTCGTCAATTACACAGTTTGGGCATGCTTCAATATTCTTAACAGTAACTGGTTCACAAACGTAATTTTTTTTTTTTTAGTACATGACTGCATATCTTCGTGAATTAGTTGGTAGAAGTGATGGTTATTGTAGTCGACTGCAAGTATGTTGTTTGTGACGTCTCATGCCCAATAGGATTTGTTTTCTATGCCAAGTGGTATCGGAAATGTTTTTATCAATGCGTATTCTGCTATATCTTCAATGGTGAAGTATGCATATATCCTAAACCATTGCCCTTCCGCCTCCTTCACGACTGTTCTCTCCGGAATCCGCCATATACTCAGATGTGATGGTAGCTTCCCATTTGCCTCTTTGATTATCCTGCATGTACGATGGACAGGTGATAGAAATATGTATATTGATCATCCCTCGTAAATGACTGTAAACAGCTTGGAGTAATACTTGCTGAGTTCCGATATACAGGGTGGGGCACGAGAAACTTCCCACCTAGTTTTAAGGTGTTAGGTGATTAAGAGAAAATCGCTCAAACACGTCAATTTTTGTTTTTTAAGGGACACATTTTATTATCATTTTCACCTCCTATACCTTTCGACCCCTAAGCGGGGGTGAAATCTGTGCCCCCAACATTTCAAATGGAAGTGGGGGTCGAGAGAAACGTCATTCAATTGCTATTTTTATAAAGAATACATACGAAGTTTTAAGTTGCTACTGTTTAACCTGCAGTAATGGCGGCTCGTCAAAGTTAGGAAATATACTATTTTCTATGAGTATTGAATAATATGCGTAATATACATCCATTTTCTATTGATCAATGTGAATGATTACTCATACAGTGAGTTTTTTTTCCATTACTTTGTTTTCAACCAATGAAAATATCCTGGTCTCATTACTCCACTATTCAAGAGCCAATCAGAAAATTCGACAAGCTGACAGCCATGGGCGTCGTTACAAGGTTTCCCAGGGGGGGGCAATATTATAATAAGACCATTTCCATTAGCGCCGCAGGCTAATTTTTTTTGATGCCACGCCCCTTTTTGAGCATTTTAATGAACTTATATGATATCGATATTTAGTTAAAAATGATGATATTTTTTTCCGCAACAAATTCACTGTCCGCATCATTTGTTAAGGTAATTTTCAAATGGCCGGTAATTATAAAACACTGAACCGATGATTGAGTTTCAACCTTCGGTTGAGACTCCATGCAAATTGATAGGATTCAACTAAAGGTTGAAACTCTACCATCGGTTCAGTGTTTAATAATACCAGCCCTAAAGTCAAGTGAAATTCAATTCCGTTGTAATGTAATGAAAAAGTCAGCCAATTTTTCACAGCACAGCGTATTCATTGAAGGTTACTCAAATAGGTATTAGGTAATCACTAATCTTTGATCAAAATATATGTTTTATTAAAAAATACCTACAGATACTATTGCACAAATCAAGTGGGTACAAATTACAAGTTTTACAAAAATAGGAACGAAAAACCTAATTTTTCCCAACGGGACAGTCTAACAAAAATAAAACTACAAAATTCTAGAACTGCATAGGCAAGAACAAAGGAAGTAACTTCTGAGTCTAAAAAAAAATATTTTAGCGATACTCTCTTTTACTGCTTTCTTGTTCAAAAGACTATTTCTAGGGGGGGCAAATGCCGAGGTCCAAAACTAACCACTTTTCCAGGAACCAGTGTAATTTGATTACTTTTGAACCGCGAAACCACAACCCTGGTTATATTCGGACCACAGCCTAAATAAAAAACCGCATAACTCGTGCCTATTATATTTATTAATCATAGAAATAGTATATTACATGCGGAGGTGGAAAGTGTTTCATTATTGTCGAGAGATACTATGGTTGACCGAGGTGCGAAGCGCCGAGGTCAACCAATTCTCGAGAAAATAATGAGAAAACTTTCCACCGAATTATGTATACTATTTTATTTTGAACCATTAATTATTGAAAAAAATAAGGTAGAAATATGACAAAAATGGAATTTCGACTGACAGTCTGACACCGACATTGACATCTTATAATATTTCAACAATATAAACACATGTGACATCTACTTCTAAATACAAACATTGAACCTGGATTTGTGTTTAGGTCTGAAAGAACAATTTATCAGGGCCGAAAGTGAGTCCTCCACGCCGAAAGTGACAGGGTCCTTATTCTTGAAATAGGGGAGTAAAGTTTCCAGGAGAACGAGTGTCCCATCTTTGTTACTTATATTATCATTTGCATATCATTGAGAAAGACGGAACACTCGTTTTCTTGGGAATGTTGCTCCCCTGTTTCAAGAATAAGGACCCAGGAGAACAGTCACTTTCGACCTGCTTCAGAGTAAACAAAAGTAAAGTGACATTTTCGAACCTTCAATACCAGTAAGGAATGTGAAAATTACATATATGGTTCAAAATAAAAGTATAGTATTCTATTCATGGTTAATGGCTATTGCGCACTCGGATGACTACACTACTTGCCTGCGGCTCGTAGTGCAAACTTCATCCTTCGTGAGTAATAGCAATCATTATCCGGTCGTTGAATAATATACTATTTTTCCAGTATCTAAACTGTACGATTTTTATTTCATTACAAAACAACACATTTTTTAAGGGTATCCATCCATGGTTTATGGTTTCTAGGAATACAATGACCTCCAGACGCGTCTCAACACCACAGTCGTACAAAGCCCGCCGCAAAGTCTAGACGCTTCATCAGCAGTTATCCTGTCTAAACATATCATACCAGGGCCGCTCCATCGTCGCAACGCTCCCATAGAAACAACAACATCAACACAATTTTAAATAAAAAAGACTTACAGCTGTATGCAACATCCTCTTTTAACTTAAAAGCGCTTTTTAATACTGGTCACTTTTAGAAATGCCATACAAATTTTTTTGCTTGGTCGCATAATTTTTTAATGTTGTCTATCACTTCTGTTACTTTCCTTGCATCGTCTGTGGTTCTTGTTTTGTTGATATTTAGCTGTAATCTGAATTCCCCTCGGTTGCTTCTGAATATGCCCAAGTATTCAATAAATAATCCTTTTTCTGGATGATGTAGTGTATAGTTTGCTTTGATGCTGCTAGGAATGCACAATACGAACATTGTAGTTCTTCATATTATGTCAATGTTGCTTCTCCGATGATTCTTTTCAGATAATGCTTTATGGATTCAACACCTGCCTTCCAGAGCCCTCCAAAATGTGGAGATGCTGGTGGAATAAAGTGCCATTTTGTACCTACAGTGTTGACAGTGTTCTGTCATTCTGGTGATTTCATCAATAGACCGATCTCCTACTACCTGGACTGCGCGCGTCGCTTGTAGGCTGCAGGTGAGCGTCCAATGAGAAGCAAGTTTGTGACAGGCTTGCGTTATATTCTTATTCAGGGACCAGTTCAGAATGAATCGTTCCTTCTTTCTTTGTAACGTGTAATTTGACAAAGAGCAAATTAATACTTTACATGTTACTTGAACTCACCGCAGTTTCGTTTAAGGTTGTGTTAGATTATACTTGACATATTCCTTGGCAATTTCATTGAGCGATGTTGCCGGATGAAACATTTATCAAAATAAAATTGCAAACGATGTTCATCCACTTTAAAGCTCTTCTTTAGTCTGATTTAAGGCGTTGTAAAACTCTTGACACCATATCACTTCTTTGACTTCTTTAATGTTATAATGTTCGATTTGTATTGTCTACATATTTGTTCTGCAACATTACAATCTGGCTACATTGCAGCCTACGAGTTGCGCGCGCATGTCATCTTTTATTGCTTTCTGATTTGTATTTATTACAATTAAGCTCTCTTTTTCTAATCATACGAGATAGGTCTATTTTAATATTTCTTCATTGAGTTGATTAGCTGCTCCTTCGAATGTTGTGCCATTGTCGCTGTATATGTTCGAACACTGACCTCGCCGAGCCGTGAATTTCCTTAGGGCTGCTAAGAATGTTTCTGTTGTCATGTTGCTGACAATTTCTATGTGTATCGCCTTTGTTGCCAGACATACAAAAAAATAGCAATGTAGTCTTTGTATGACGTAGCCTCTCCCTTTGGTTGCTCGAACTGGAATGGGCCCTGCGTAGTCATTCCCTGTATTTGGAAATGGTGGTGATGGAGTTACTAAATGCACTCGTTTAAGATGCTTCTTATAACTATTTTTGCATTGATTATCCAAAACTTTTGTCTAATATATGCTAGAGTGAGCTGATTGCCTCCGTGGGCTTCTTGAATGATCAGCCTTTGTGAGATGATTATTTTTTGGGAGAATAATGAGGTGTTTTTCGTTGTACGGGATCTCTGCGTCTTTTAATCTGCCTCCCACTCGTAGTATGCCTTTTTGGTATAATATTGGATTCAAAGTTTTTAACCTACTTTTTTTGTCTATGTTCTTCTTTTCTTCAAGGCATTTTTTTTCTTCATCGAACTTGATCTCTTGTACGTATCTGATGATCGCTTTTAGTGTCTCTTCTAATTCATCGGGAGACAAGTTCTCTTTTGGTGTGTTTTTCCTCATTTTTCTGCAATATGACAATACCCTCGTCATTTTCGTTGATGTTGAAAATCTTTCCTATAATTCATTTTGTAGCGCAACTTGTGCCTGGTGGCATTGTGCCAGTTTGGTTCATTCTGTGATTTTCCGGATGTAGGTGTATTTTAGCGAACTTTATTAATTAGCCATTCGGGTCCTGTCCACCACAGGGTTGAATTTTTTAATGCCTCGTGAAATGGCATCGGCTGAATTCTCGCTTGATTTAACGTGACTCCCTTGTGTCGGCGGTATTTTCTTTGAGATTTCTGCGACTCGATTGGCGATTAATGTATTTCACCGTGTAGTATCCCCTTTTACCCAACCTAGGGTTATCATTGAGTCAGTTCATGCATGGATCTTGGGATTGTTTATTTTTAATGTTTTTACATATCTGCTCATCATCAATTGCCAGTAGTACTGCTGTGCAGTTCTAATTTACTCAATAATTAAATAATAACAATTTTTAATTCAGAATTTTCACTCAATAAATCAAAAATGAATCAATTTTCAGGACAGAATCTTTACTCATTGGTTAAAACTCCTAATTTTTACATCAGAAGGACTCATCAATGAGTTGCTGCAAAATAATTCTAAATATTCACAAGAAATTCCATAGAATTCTTCGAGGAATTCTATTGGATTCCACTAGGATTCCATCGGATTCCAGTAGGATATCGTGGGATTCTAGTGTACACATTCTAGTGTACATACACATTTTTCAAGGTGGTTTACCCCTCGAGTTCAACCGAATATCAAAATATCAGAGGTTAATCTTGAAATTCACCTAAAGGAACTAATGTCAAGTTTAGATTAACTTTTAAGATAACACTGAAATACCGGCCCTAAGCTCTGTAATTCTGAATTAACCACAAAACACGAACGCATCCAATAAAATGTTACTCTTAAGTTTTTTTCAAAATTAAAAAAAAAAACCAATGGATCCTCCCCTGCACCACAGCTCCTGTGCGATTGGTAAGGAACAAAGTGGATGAGAGGAAACAAGGAATCAAACTTACCTGATCCGATTCACTGCTAGCTCGTCGTTAATACGAATTATCTGGACGATAAAATAAAACTAAAAAATTACGGGTGGAGGGAATGGGAAATTGAAAGACAAAAAGACGCATGCAATTTTAAAAATCAAGTCGAAGGCCGGCGTGCAATATGCTGATTACGTTTAGCCCTTTTGCCTCTTTGCGGTGCCCCGGCTGGGTAGGTAAACTGAAGTTTGGATTATTCCGATGATAATGATGATGAAAGTACACAAAGTGCTTATTAATTTTTGTCAGAAAAACCAAGCTGCAGAGGACGATTTCCTTAACGTACCTTAAGATTACTTTTGCTCTTTGTCCATCGTTCAATGCTGAGAACATTTCGAACAAATTTTGTCCCTCAAAAACTTCAAGGCAGCAATTTTTTTTTTGCCAACATTCGCCCCTTTATATCATAAAGAGAGTGCCTCTTTTATCCATCTGAGGACTTTTATTAAGGAGGGTCGTTTCCCACGACTGACACAGAACGGGTTTGTTATTCTTTGATTTTTTTGATTCACGGTAATTTGTTATCTCCTCTCTGGACCAGTTCTATATCGGACAACGTGGTCTTTATTAAAAAGGATTTTTTTTTGTTGCAAAGCCACACATGTATGTGTGTGTGTGGATTATACAAATATTTGATTGAATTTGTATGTTCCAACTACAAGGTATGTTAAGGAAATCGTCACAATTTAAAATACTTTTTTTTTGGGTAATAATGTTAGTAGATGTTAATGATGAACAAGTAACACAATTATCTAGGAAGGAAAATTTTTTAGCTTGACAGCCAAAGGCAGAGTGAGCTATGATTTTATTTGTACAAATTTGGTTTTTGAATTTAAAGATTTTAACGCTCACTCTGCAAAAGCACATAATATTTAAAAGAAGTTCTAGTACTGTTTGCTCTGAAATGATAAAAGTTAGACACAAATTAAATTGGAACGTAGTCGATCTAGCCAGCTTGGTGTTTTTTCCTTATTATTTACAAATAAACTACCAACTAGTCAAAGCCAATATAGCGATACTCAAATTAAAGACATTTTTACTCCCTTAGTTAGTGGTGTTAGTAATGTGCTTGAACTTTAAACTAACTTCACTGTCTTATAAAATTCTGTAAATGATACTCGAATGGGTGAAAAACAGCAAGCAGACTAGGGACGACAGATGATCGTTTGATCGGTTATTAGGCGCACTATCGTTATTATCGCCGGGTGATATAAATTGGCGAAAGTACTGAAATTTGGTGCGGTACTTACCGTAGTCGCCTCGGCCCATGGGACCTCCTCGCATGCCGGGACCCGAACGTGGACCGCCGCCACCGCCGCTACTACCGCTGGTACCGGGCGGTCCGCGAAGTGGCATCGTTCCTGGCATCATTCTGGAAAAATTCAAACCTTTGCTTAATCTGTCTGTTAAAATAATCCTACGAAAACGTGCTTACCTATCCTGAGCACTATAAGAAAAACAAGTGCGTATTATTATAAGATTTGATTAGGTGCCAAAAAATGGTTTGCAACAAAAATTTCAGGTCGCAACTTACCCTCCTCTAACTTGCATCATTTGCATCATACGTCTTTCTCGTGCCCTCAATATTTCTTCTTTTTTCTTCTTATCGGACGGAGGTTTGGCTAGTGAAACTTCTATATTTGAACCGCACATTTCTTTTCCATCTAATTCTTCCATTGCCTGGATAAAAATACGATATAATACAAAATCTTGCACATTTTAGGCTGGTATGTATTTACTTTTAATAAAGGAAACGTCAATTTCTGAGCGAGAAACAATCTGAGAATCATTATTCATGAAATCTTGAGAGTGGGGAGTTCATTTTTTTGTATGTCGCTCAGAGATTGAGGTTTCCTATTAAAAGTCTCTAAATTGGACCACCCTGTACTTGAATTTATGTGTAGAGGGTGGTCCAATTTGGACACCATTAATAGGAAATAGGAAACGTCAGCGTTCTAAACGAGACGAAAAAAATGAGCCCATCACTCTGATGTTCATTATCCATAAAATCTTGAGAGTATCTCGCTAAGAACTTGACGTTTCCTATTGCTATTAAAAGTGTCTTTATTGAATAATTGAAGCACCCTATACTTGAATGTATTTGTACAGGCTGGTCCAGGATCAGAGAGTTCTTCAAGTCGGACCAGTGACATACAAATCTTGTATAATAGTGATAGTATAGGAGCTGGCACGGTTTTTCGGTAAACAGTATTTATCAAAATTTTTATTATTAAATCATGATGCCCCAGACGGCAGGGTTTCCGTTCCATAAACGTGTCCGGTTAAGATGCCCAGACTTGCGTGTTCTTGCTGAAAAGGGAGTGTATCATTATGCTCCCCATTATAGCACGGACGCTGATTACCGCTGCTTCCGTCGGCTGGATAATTTTTTTTTCAATTAGGTCGGCATAAGATTTCCCAGACCAAATTCCCTTCCAGTTCACTGTCAATGTCGTTCTTGAATCTTTTGCCTGTGTCGCTTTTCTGACGAGATTATAAAACGCTTATTTTTCTTTGTTGTATGAGCGAGATCCAGATCGATAGAGTCAGTGACCACTGTCGGATTTCAGGATTGCATTGTCCATTTCAATTTTCGTCTCTGCCACTACTACGTAGCCTTTAGTGTTTAAATTTCTCCTCAGGTAGGCCGCCAAGGCGTCGTGTCTTCTAATGACCATATGGGGTATCAGGCATTGCTGGAGGACGTCGTTCAATATTTTTGGTACTTGGAATCCACCTCTGCACGAGCCGTCTAATTCTGGCTTGCCTCTAGTTGTTCTAGATAGAGTAGGCAGGGCATTAATTCTTGTTTTCATGCAGTTCAGGAAGTCCTTCCCAGATAAGAGCCGGGTCGGCTCTCTGACCCATCTGAGTGCCTGTGGTACCTTGATGGCTTATCTCAGGCCATGGCCGTTCACCATGCCACACAATTTGGTTTTTCACATTCTATTGATGTCTGCTGTGGACCTCAGGTTCAATTCATTACTGCTTTCCCACTTTGTCCAATTCAGCTGCCAAAAAGTAGTTGATTGTGTAGTTGCCATCGAGTAACGGCAGCTGAAGGTTAAGCAGCTTCCCCCTTCTGATCACAGGGATCCCATCTAAGCGACGGGATTGCAAGTTCGCCGTTCTCTGTGCTGGCATGTATAAATGCAGTGGGGGTATCGTGCAGTAGGTGGAGCCATTTGTGGAAGAGTTTTGGAATGACATTAACTCTGAAGGCATGAAGTCTCTGTTGTGGCTTGAGTGGGGCTGCCGATAGCCTATTAAGGAGTGAGCTCATGTCTGCACTTGGATAGTACTTTAACACGTCCGGTTCGGCTGAAGTCAATGCCGAGATACTTCCAGCTGTCCGCCTTGATGAGGTAGGGCCTAATGCCCACTTTAAACTGTCTCTCTTCCAGTATAGTGTACTTCTGCTTCGGCTGCCCTTCGATGCTACCGGAGATGCATTTAGCTGGGTTTAGAAGCAACCTGCATGACTCCAGATGGTCCGTTGTGCTATTAAGTAGGTCTTGCAATCTAGCCGAAGTAGATGCCATCAAAATAAGATCGTCTGCGAAGGCGAGGGCACTAATCTTGGTAGTGTCGATTGTGGCCCCGGTTTCTTTGAGGAGCTTCCTGAGTAACCCATTTATAATCATGTTGAACAGCAAGGGGGATAGCGGGTCTCCTTGCTTGACACCTCTTTTAGGCTTGATAAGTTCTTATGTCTAGCTCTCGCCTCTGATGTTTGTGGAAGAGCCGCAGTAGTACTGCCTTAGATACTCAACTGCAGGCTGTGGCAAGCTTAAAGCTAAAAGACCGAAGGTCCCTGTAGATCAGTGGTTCCCAAACTTTTTGCTCCTGCGCCCCCTTTCTGAAATCAAGAAGTGGTCGCGTCCCCCTTCCTGCCCCCATTATACAAAATAGTTATTTATGATATAAGTGCTAAAAGTGACATTTTATTTTGTGAAAAGGGAAGTTTGGGACACGACGCCGAAGGCGGAGTGTTCCATCCCTTTTTTTACGTACTGTAACTCGTCTGAACTGGACTTTGGAAGAGGAGGAATGGCCATTACAGTAGGCAGCGAGCGTGCGCTGTAGCACTGATCGCATGGCAAAGCTGCTTTGGCTTAGGTATGCGCTGCTGCCGGATTGTAGACATCTTTTTTTAAGTCTTAACTGATTTTTTATTTTAAAGCTTAAAATTTGTACTAATATTTTAGAAGACTTACGCCCACAGGGGGACGCGCCCTCCAGTTTGGTAGCCACTGCTGTAGATACTCTCGTGCGATATAGAGTCGAAGACGTTACCCACGTCCAAAGAGGACATGTTGCATGTAGAGTACTTTCTGTGTTGGTCTCTGAGAATTAGGTCCAGCAAGCTTGTGTTGTCCGCGCATTCATCAGTAGGGATAAAAGCTCTTTGTCTTGGGCCTAACTTGTTAAACCGACTTGCCAGGATGAAATGTAGCTGTCTTGCTATGACCGATAGTACAGTAAGTGGTCTAAAGTCCCCAGGCTCGTTGGAATTGGCCTTCTTGGGAATAAAGGTCGTTATTGTCTTTCTCTGCTCCAAAGGCAGCCAGAGAATAATATTCAGAATAGGGTAGTGGACAAGGTATAATTTCAATGAAATCGATGATCTATTGTTCATCTATGGAGTAAATGAAAAATATTTCCATTGAAAGAAATTTCAGAAAAAATTGCTAACTTGGTTTAAAACGATTATAAAAGTAGAGTTTTGGGACTCACTATTTAAACGAAAATATTTCGCGCCTTGATTCTACGTCATAGCTGTTGTATTTGAGTATGAAATGAATTAAACCTTCGTCCTATATTCGACACACACTTACTCATTAGTGCAAAAAAGAGAGATATATCAGCGTCTGTGTGTCATTCCATCTAGGCGCACCCAAGGGCGCACCCTCAACTTAACCCCACTTTTTGAGAGATTTTCATTTGTCAATTAATGCGCAGTGAGCTTATCTGCTTCTTTTTCTAGAAGCATGTAAAATATAAGAACGCACTGACCACGCTCTCGCCCACACTTATGAATGTCGGAATGCCTTAGACATAACAGCTGTGACGTAATTTCCGGGCGGTAAATTATAGCGTTTAAAATAAGTATAAATTTGTTTATTTTTTTTTAGGTATATTTTTGTTTTCCAAAATCAAAGAATCATCAACTACTATTTATTTTGTTATGGAGATTAATAAAGAAAATATTTCAGTGGCGGGCGCACTTTAATAATATTATTTGCATCTTTCTTCATCTCCCATTCCAAATGGAGACAGAACAACTCAAGCCTGAGAGTTTGGGCATCTAATCTGAACTGAAGGTATTGTATTGTGACGCTGACTGTAGATTGTAAGGGAGGTTTGAGCTCCAAAAATTCTCTGCCAAGCTTCACTTTATTTAAGCCAAGTACGGTTTACACGGTCCAAGTATACTTGGAGCCTTGGACGCTGCGCACACCCCACTGGGCCTTACTTGAAACTGATGGACAATTGCTTTCGAGCAAAAGGAAAATTTCGCCTCGATATGTTTGGAACCAAAATTTTGGTTTCTGGTTTCCACAATTTTTTTCACAAAAAGTCAATTTGTCAGTCCGTGAAAACCGGAGGGCGATATTTGGTCTGGTTCCAAAAATATTGAGCTTGAAAGTTAGGTGAAAAAATTTCCTTGCTCGAAAGCAATTGTCCAGAAGTTTGTTATTGGTAATTAAGACTGGCAACAACCAACAACGTCGATACATTTTTGAATTCATAAGATTTTTTTCAAATTGCACCACTGGTTTCAGAAATAATGGATCGTCCCGTTACTTTCCGTACACTCTGTGACAAATATGGCAAAATTAGGGCGTGGCACTTCAAAAAAATTATTTTTCCCTCCCATTCACTACCTCCCGCTTTTCAATTTTGAAAATCTGGCAATCCTACTCTGGGGTGATCGGCGCCCATACGTTCTACACATCTTGCTGGATTACCTCATCCGGGGGTGTTACGTGAGTTCTCGACTCCATAACGTTTTGCCAAAAGGGCTCTATTATCTCCTTCCCTGACATCCTCGCCTCACTTGGATTGATGCTTTCGCCAGTTAATTAGGGTAGTTGCATATTCAATCCGCCTTTGGGTGGTTGCATATTCAATCCGCCTTTGGGTGGTTGCATATTCAATCCGCCTCCTACTCCTCTATAGGATTTAACTGGGAACATCTTGCTTAGTAGTAGAGTAAGGTCCTCCAGCGTTTGTTGTTTGTTCAGAGCCTGTTTTATTATGTCTGTTAGTTCGTGGCTGTAGTAGAAGCTGTTTGCTGGTCTTGTCAGACCCAGAAGGTACTTATCTAACGTTAGTAAAGGAATCGAATTGCGAAAAAAAAAAAAATGATTGAATGTCATTCACTAAAACTTTGATAAATCCTCAAGCTGTTCTTTCGTTTCCGAAAATTTCGGTCATGATAAATATCGTTTAGCAAAATGAAAATTCATTCCTTTTCAAACGGTCAGTTTTGGTATGTCCAAGTAACTTACAATCATGATTATTTATTGATAAAAATTTTGATAAATCTCGTTTACCGAAAAACCTGTCAGTTCCTATACTATGATTGTTACACTTTAAATCAGAATTCTTACCTTAATTGCGTTATCCCTATCTTCAAAATGGATGAAAGCGTAGTCCTTGATTTTCTTGACGCGTTCGACTTTACCAAACGCCTCAAACGATTCCTTCAATTTATCTTCGCTAATATCTTGGGTCAGGTTTCGGACGTAGAGCACTTTGACTTTGGACATTGTCTGTTCGTCGGGTTCTTCTTGAGGGTCCGCCCAGTCGACGATTATATCACAACCCCAAACCTATTAGAAAAAAATTACTAATCTCTTCACCTCTTCTGTGTGTTGCTCAAACACTTACTTTTATCCTACCAGTTCCTAATCTTCGTTTTGCTAGAGATGCAGCCTTGTGTGATTCGTACTCGAGAAAGCAGAAACCCCTATTTTTCTTTTTGTCGTCCGGTGAACTGTAGATTATGACTTCTAAAAGGCCAGCTGTGCAAAAATACATCAATTTATTAACTCATAATATGTGTATTCAACATTATTCTAAATAAATATTCGACTGTAACTGTACAGGAAATTCAATCACAGCCTAATATATTTAGAAAAAAAAAGCAACCACTATTGCATAATATTGCATCGTCGGATGTTAAAATTTGGAATTTGGAAGAAGAAACAGGGACATAATTTTTTTTTGATTGGGATGATAATTCAAATCCCATATCATTGTTTTGCTATATAAATTGGCAGCCCTGCCCTACCCAATGCTCATAGGCTTCTTATTGACTGACACATTCCAGAATTTTTTTTTTTTGATTCACTAAAGAACTCGTGGAAAATAAAACCAAACCAAAATAAGTTTTACAGTTTACATTTACATTGACAGTTTCGTTTTAAAGTTCAACGAGATCAGCAACTATTATAGCCAATTTTGCTAATATGCACCGTGTAAAAACATACAGCACGATGCATATCATTAGATGTTGATGGGGAGGAACGCAGGCTCAACTTACGTGCATGTTTTGAAAACTCTTCGAAGAGATCCTCACGATCCCGGTTTTTCGGTATATAGCCCACAAACAACCGGTGGTTGTTATAGGATATGGTAACGCCAATCTTTTTGCCTTTCCGTATCTCATAATCATTCAGCTGCAAGAACAGTGGAAGGGTAGCCATATTTGTGCCTTGGGCAAGGGGGCTGAGAGAGAGGCGAAGGAGAAGACGGGATAGGGAGTGTTGTATATGAGTGTGATAAGAGATAGAGCCCGGCGAACGAAAGTCAATTTTTTGTTTTTGGTAATTGAGGCTGCTATATTATGCTGTATAGTTTTTGATTGCAATAAGCCTTGCTATATTAGTTTTTAGCAGCAGAATATAACACCCTTAAACCCCCATCAAAATTTAGATGTTAATTTTTTTGATTTTTTTAATTATAGCGTTCAATCAAATCAACTTTACCTGTCAATTTACCAAACTCCTCCAGAATCTCCTCTTTGCCTTTAGATTTCGGTATGTTGCCGACAAAAAGCCTCAGATTCGGCACGCTTATGTTAATTTTCAACGTCTTGCCGGGTTTGATTTCGTAATTGTCCAACTGCGCCGAAAAGAAAAAAAAACACAAAATGCCAGAATGGGTAAAATTTTGTTTGGTTCTAAAAATCAAAATTTTGGCTATTTATTTTGCAAACTAAACCAATAGTTCCAAAAACGAATTTTGACTTTTTGTTTGTTTAAATTTTGCAATGACTCAAGATACAGCCTGAATAACATTGTTTTCAAGCTATATTTAGTGTCACAAAAATTTTGAACGGACTACAAATTTTAATTTGTAGAATGCGGGCAAAGCAAATTATTCCTACTGATACAAATTACTATATATTTACAACAACTACGATACAAATCGCACTCTATCTATTTGCTAGGCCGCAATACTACTTTGAGCAAACTGAAAGGATTTGTTTTGTATTAAAATATAATAACAAGAAATAATAAACAAATAAACAAAAATATAAGAACAAGCACAAATCTTATTTATGGAAATTGAATTTATGTCAAATGTGCTAAATTTTTTAGTAGTGCCTAGTGTAGCAGGCATGGTCCTTATCAAAAGTTATCATTGTGCTAAATTCGAAAAATGGACAGTTTTTGAGAAAATCCATGAAAAAAGAAATGCCTATCATTTATAAATCGGTTGTTCAGGTGAATCGGTAGAGTCACAACATTGCACTGGGGCGAGTTCAGGAATGACACACTCAGTGGGAGTATGATACCGGTGCGACCCTCTAGCTGTTCTTAAGTGCTCAAACCCTGTGCGTGAGTTATTTCTGAACTCGCCCCTGCATGGAATTGCCGGTTCGATTCGTAGTTTGGAGAACTTTTCTTTGCTTTTTTTGCTCCATTATTTACACACAACACAAAAACTGTGGAGAAGCACATAATTATGGATAGACAAAGTAAATGATTGAACGAAGTATAAATATAATTTGCTTTTTCTTTTGATATAAGATAGTTTTTTTTTTATAATTGGGGTGGTCTTGCTCTATTGCTGGCATTTAAAACATGCGCAAGAGAAGGATAACTACTCTATCGATTCACGAAACACCGCTAACCGGTTCATGAATGATACACATTTCTTCAACATGGATTTTCTCAAAAACTGTCCATGTTTCGAATTTAGCGCATTGATAACTTTTGATAAGGACCATGACTTCTACAACATATCAAAAATTCAGCACATTTGACATACATCCAATTTCCATAAGATTTGTGCGGGGTCCCGTCTACGGATTATTCTCAAAAGAATAACAAAAACACACAACGTACGGTCTCAATTTTGCCCCTTCCGCAAAGAGGAGACCTGTCAAGGAAAACCTTCAGAAAATTCTGACCATAAAAAAGTTTGCCAAAATATCACCGAGACAGTGTTATATAATTTTCCCCCGCAAATTTTAAACCTTGTGATGGGCTCTCTTGGAAAATTCGATCGAATTTAAAGAGTGTGAAGGATAAAAGCTACAGGAACATTGTATTGTGAGAAAGCTCCGTTGTCAGAGCCGCTGCAACAAAAGTCACATACTGAAATTGCGGGCTATGACGACAGCTGTCAAGACACATCTATAATAGAATTGCCAATTAGGTATTAGAGGAATTTTATAAATACTTTTCTTCCATTTGCGATTTCTATAATTTTTGGAATTAATTCTTACAAATATATGGTATGCAGAATACTGTTGAGAAAAGTATTTATAGTTTGGAATTTAATGCACTTTTATGAAGTGGATTAGATTCCAAATTTAATTCAGATATTTTAAATGAGGAAAAAATTTATGGTAACATAGGATGTATTTTGGATTAATGTTTAATCAAATACTTTATCAGTTCTAAGGAATTGTCTGATCCACAAAATGGAAAAACTATATATTGTTTATACTTAAAACAATTAACATTATATACGAGCATAAAGTCTAAACTATTTTTATCAATCAATATAAAACCAGCACTCCTCAAAATACTTTAATGTAGTAGGTATACCAACAAGATTCTAGATTACCCCCTATACTTTAATCCAATATGTTACCAATACAGTTTCAATACTCTATTATACCAACGATGGACGAAAAAGTCCCTCTCTTACCTTCTGTACAGCGACTTGAGCGGCATCTCGTGTCGAAAATGTGACAAAAGCGTATCCCCGATTCGTCCCCGTCATCGGATCCATCATAAGCCGGAGGTCCCATATCGTTCCGCATTGTTCAAATAAAGGAATCAGTTCGTCTTCGTATAAGTCTTTTGGAATTTTGCCGCAAAATACCTCGCAACCGGAACCCGGCGTGTTACCGTCCCAGCCAGGCGGGGGACCGCCATATTTTCTTTGTCCTATATTGACCAAAATTAGCTCAAACTACAAGTACTTATCTATTTATTGATTTATCAAAATCCATTTTGATTCTCTTATGTATTTTTGGTGGGATATTACCTGTTGTAACATCTAAAGTATATCCAGTCCTATCTAATATTTCTTTTATTTTTTCCTCGTCGGGGCCTTTGGCGGGAACTGGCGCGGCTGCTGTCGAGCCCTGACTCGAACCAGCTCTGCTTTTTTGTCTACAAACGGAAAATAGTTTTATAATAATTTGCTGTATATGAAACCTGCTTGCAGTAAGTTATGGTTATATAGAGTATCTCTAAAATGTATGTGAGAATCCTTGAGATTCCAGTAGGATTCGTCAGCGGAAAGATATTTCATTACCTACCCCTATCAGAAATGTAAATGTGGAAGAGATTGTTGCTTTAGGGAGTCCGCAGTAAATAGTGTTAATGTAGCAAGAGATGAATGATGAATGTGCTATGGTTCTAAAGAAAATACAAAAATTCTCAAGAAAAGCTCGTCAAAGGCTCCAGAAAACCCACATTGATTAGCTCGGAAAGAATTGCCAGCAGTGCCACTGAATCAAGTGATAATTCTCCAACAATTGGAGTATCGAAGTTTAGACTTTTTGACGATATTATCAGTAGATAATGAGGAAGATCAAATGTCAACAGAAATATTTACCTATATGTTTTCATGACGCCACATAAATACGCCGACTTGTTGGAGACGTGCTCCAGGTTGGAATCGAGGAACTGGCCGAGCACGTTGAGCGCGCCCTCGACAGGGAATTCTTTAAGGGCATCTAGGGCGCGCTCGTCCAGGTCTACGTGGGCTAGCTTGCCGGTCTTGTAGATGTCGTCCAGTTTAGACGCCACCTGAAACAGAAATATTTGCTTTAGAATCTTATGGAGTCAAGTCTATACTACATTCTAGTTGGGTTTGGTGTTCAATGGATACTTTCATACAAAATGTCAATTTCTAAAAATCATTTGCCACGCCCAGAATCCTTATTGCTGCCGGATTATCGGTGTAAGATCCTGGATATTTAGTTCTACCCACCTGTGGGGTTCTTCATTTTTTGGAAAAAAAAGGTTCGGGATGAATGGTGGGTTGGTTTTTCTCCAATTTGGGGAGTTCAATTCAATCAAGGCGCAAGAAAGGATTTCGTTCCTGGACTAGCCATACCCTATACTGTACCCTTCAGTAGATTATTACTTCCGCCTTTTTTTAAAATTTACCTATAGTTTGTTCATATTTATCGAGTTTACATTTCAGGGGCCCCAGAGAATAAATATCTGTACAATGTTGGCACATCTTCTAAATTTAAATTCTATGGGATAACTGAGAAAATACTAAGAATTGACCCATGGCTAATAGAACAGTTTTAGCTTAAAACTGGCCATTAACTGACAACTAACAGGCTGTTCATTTTTACTGCTTTTCATGCTTCAAGCAAATCTCAGCAGATTGGCGTACACTTGTCCCACATATTATAAGCTCATAAGTAGCAGCTTCTAGCAGATCTTTCTAATCGAGCAGGTAGAGCAAGTGCAAAAGAACAGCCTATAAGAGAGGAACTATTTTTGCATGATTCAGTTGATAAACCTGCTTCAGCTCAAAGGTAAAGTCAGCGTATTTTCGTTTTCTCTCCTCAAAAACCTTCTGGATATTTTTGTCCAGAGGGTTTGTGATGTCTATTATGGCAACTAATTTCTTCTCTTTGTTGAACAGCACTATATCTGGCTAACAGGCCCGTATAACAATGCAGTAATCATCGGTGTATCCCAATACATTTTGAATTTGGTATTTTCGAGAACGCCTTTTTGTATGGTAAATTTTCCCCATTTCATCGTTTCGTTTGAGATACTCCCTGGGGGCTGGGTGGGAGCATCCCGCTGTTATATGCTGGATACTTCCTGTTGTTCCCTTAAATTTTCTACAAAAATCACTGCCGATATTTTCTTTCAAGATATGTTTCCGGTACGCTCTTGTAGGCACCACCTGATCTTGGATTGTCATCAATGATACTTCTGTTTCTAGGAAAAGGTACCTCGCTTTAAGGTAAGTATTGGACAAAGGTTTACTAATGTGTATTTGTTTCAGGTTTGTGGCAAATCTCCCATGTAGCTCTTAACTAGACCAGTGCAGTTCGAGTTCGGCAAAAGATATCACTGGGATAGGAACAATGACATATTAACACAGATAGACATTACAGTAAACAAAATTTTGTGTCGCCAACATCTAGGGGAGCAATCCACCACCGGTGTATCCCCTCCAATTTGGTTGCCAAATTGTTACGGATTGATATTTTATCCTGTTATGATTTTGCTTCAAAAAGTTGGAGGTTCAAGACTTGAAACGACTGCTGGCAACGTCGGTTTTGTAAGACAGGCGGAACACACAACACACCTGCAATCGCGTCCATCAAACTTATATCATATAAGTTAGAGGTAGACAGATAGATAAACGAGTTGCACCCGTGCACATTTCTTCATTATTTTGGTCAAATAAATGACGGGATTCAGAGAAGTATACAAGTCTTGTTTACACCACTGATGCATTTCTACCATTATACCATGACCCCCTCTCGAGCAGCTCACCTCTTCTGGCCCATGGGGGGTCTTGTCATCACAACAAACATCAGTTTATGAATGAGATGTGGTGTCTATCTGTGTTAAGATGTCATTGGATAGGAATTTTGCCAGTCAGACTCAGTGCGGAAAATTTGGTGTCTGTTCTAACTGAGGATCAGTGAGAACGCTCAAAGTATCTAGGGAGTTTTGAACTTTGGTAGCCGCATGTCATTCCAAGGTTATGCAGTCCTTTTTCTCCCTGAGCTCTGGGAACATACAGACGGTTTCAGCTTTTGGGTGGTTTAGTGAGAAGTATCCTTATAGTTCTGTTCATTGTTTTTATCTCTGTTAGTTACCACTCAATTATGCCGATGACTGTGGGGATTCACCAGCTGCTTAGAGCTTGAAATAGGTTTTTAGATACCAGTCGAGTTGCGAGAGCCCTTCTCACTATTTCCACAAGTTTATCTTGGAATATCTGTTTCATTTTTCTTTGCTCGATGCACATACTCTGCTGGATACCGAGATACTTGTAAGAAACATCTGGCTCTATGGAAGGTATTACTGTATCATCCATCAAGTTCAAATTTTCAAGCTCTGTTAATTTTCCCCTACTTATATGAAGTCTTTCACATTTTTTAATTCCCATTTCCATTTTCATGGCGTCACTAAAAGTACTTAACTACTTTAAGTTGACTTTGTAGTTGATCTTAGTTTGACGAGTAGAGTCGTGCATATATAGGGCGTGTGGTATTTCAACATGTGGGTTTCTCTCAACAATGCCCCCGTATTCTCGTAATCCGAGGAACATCGTTCTCAAGAGAACGAATTGCTCTGTCTTAGTTACCCATATTGTTATTTCCATAATACTGACAAAGACAAAGAGCAATCGTTCTCTTGAGAACGCTGTTTCCCGGTTACGAGAATACGGGATATGCAGGCCTATGATGTATCCTGTCCTGTTATTTTAACAGTTGTGTTATAGCTCAAAATCTATACCTGTCTCTATTTTTACGTGTAGAATAAACAGTGACAGATAACTTAACGTTCCTGTTAAAATAACAGAAAATGATACATCATAGGCCTGATGGTTTATTGTTTAATGAATTTCCATGGATCTCCTCCGGACCTCTATATCGAGCTCTATATACAATAATAACCATGGTACCTGTTAAAGTGATATGCGTACGAATTACGCTTTCCGATTCTACACTACTACAGCTGAAGTACTTGGATCTTCACGTATTTCCACCGGATCTTCAATGAATCTCCATGTTTCTCTACCGGATATTTACGTATCTCCACAGATATCAAGGATTTGCACGTATCTCCACAGATCTCTATGAGATTTCCATCCCGTACGACAAAAGATTTCCAAGTGGCTACCCGTCTCGAAGGAAGTTACTTGCAATTTTTTAGGACAGAAAATTTCCATTTGTGGAGATCTTCTTGTAACTCCATAAATCCCCATCGATATCCTTGGAATTCCATAGAGATCATTTGCATTTCCATCGATTACTGTGTATCTCCTCCGGACCTATTAAATTGATATGTGACATGCGTACGTAATAACGCTTTCCGATTCTATACTACTACAGCTGAAGTTCTTGGATCTCCACTGGATCTTAACGTATCTTCAATGAATCTCCGTGTATCTATACCGGATATTCACTTATCTCCACAGATATCAAGGATTTTCACGAATCTCCACTTTTCTCCACAGATCTCTATGAGATTTCCATTCCATAGGACAGAAGAAACTCACTTGCAATTTTTTAGGACAGAAAGTCTCTATTTCTCAAGATCTTCTTGTAACTCCATAGATCCCCATGGATATCCTGTGATTTCCATGGAGCATTTGCATTTCAATGCATTTCTGTGTATCTCCTCCGGACCTCCATATACATTAATAACCACGCAGTATACCAGTTAACATAATATGCGCACGCAGTTACGCTTTTCCGATTCTACACACAATTGTAGCCGAAGTTATTGGAACATCACGTATTTCCACCGGATCACCATGAATCTCCACATATCTTCACCGGGTATCCATGGATTTCCACAAATATTCCACAGGAAATGCTGATCTACTTGGAGCGCAAAAAAACACTTCACTGGTATGTCCGATTTGAAAAGGATGGAACTTGCCGAAAATGCTATCAGAGAATAAAGGAGAGGAGACTAAACAGGAAATACAAAATATCAGGACCTTTACATGTTCTGTTGGATTACCAATCGATAATCTCGTTTTTGGTTTGATCAATAGAACTTATCCAATGTTTCCTAGTATTGAAGTCACCCATAACTGCAATCCTTAATTTCTTTGTATACAGGGGTATGGAGAAGCAACTCTGATGTTATAATTCTGGGCTGTCCCTATTATGTATATTCTAGCCTGTCTAATATTTCATTTAAAATCTATACATATACTTATTTTTCTATCACCCTGTTAGCCTATTAGTTACTCCCATTCGCCAATCTCCAGGAATGTAATTCTTTTATGCGTATTCTTGCCTTACTATTAACTGGTTCTTGAAAAACATCTGAGGGCAATGTTGCCATAATCATCCACTTTGCATTCAAAAATGATTATTATTAAACCAAAATCCGTTAACACCGTCATCTTATGTATCGTGCACTTTTTATCTTGCACAGCAGGTAGCATAAATAAAAGCATAATGGCAGGATACTCACCTTTTCATCAAGGCCATATTCTATTAACTTTTGATAATCTGCAGTTCTTTCTGTATCTTCAATCTTCATTGGTTCGTCTGGGACTTCACCATTACCTTCTGCCATAGCTAGAACAAAAGAGAGAAAAAATATAGAATAATGGAGAATTAGACAAATAAAAGGCTATTGCTAATCAAGTTTTAATTTTATGATAGGTAATTACAAGTAGGCATAAAATCAGGAATAGTTTATGTAGTAAATTATACACTTGACTGTATAATTTTCCTGAGCTTTTTTATGTTTAGATGCATACCACAAAATAAAATTGACTTTTCTTAGTTTTATAAGTACATATTTTCAAATGGATAAAACATAAATAATTAATAAACCCAAACCCACATGCCGATGTAAGTGAATATTTACATGAGCCGATACTTCAAGTTTACAAGTCAATAACACGCAATTATTCAGCGGAGACCAAACATTAGAAATTATAGCATCGAAAAAAAAGCGGTTGGGGCCATCACACTTTTCCAAGGTCTTGGTCAATGGCACACCACACGGGTTGACGCGTTTCGCGATTCATTTTTTCGGGTACCGAAATTATTTGGCGGTTAACAACCAACCGAAAAATAAACAATAATAATCTACTGCACCAAGGTTATACTCTAATCGGTTTTCGATTGTAAACATTTTCTTTATTAGTGCACTCTGGCGTAAACCATCAGTGGATAATAATTTGGAACATAAATACAAAGGAAAATAACCGAATATCGATTTCATATTTTGTGATGATTGATCTGGAACCTGGAACTGTGATCCTATGAAAAATTGGAGTGTCTGTGAAGGAAGCTGGAGCAAGCCAAGAGTGAAAAATAAACTTTTTGGAAATATCCACATTCTTTATTGACTTCTCATATTTTTTTGGAAAATATTGTCTTTTCTACGGTATAGTTTCACATGTCCAGACAGTTGAGTTAAATGAGTAAGTCTACATTTTCTGGGCTATCAAAGGGGCATGGATGGGACAACCACTTGAATTAAAGAATCTTCTATAAAGTAGCCTTATTTTTCTTTTGGAGCATTTGCAGATTTGTCATATTATGCAAAAATACATAAATCAAATCAGCGAGACAGACAATCTTTGAGCAGATAAAACTTGGCAAACGATAAAAACTAAAAATCGTTCTGCTTATCTGCCTTACACACCCACAGATTTTTAGCAATATTATTGTGATAACCACAATATTTGGTTTTTAAAAAGATTCCTTCATCAAAATGATATTTAAAATAGTATTTTCGAGTTTCTTCAAAGGAAACAACAATTTAAATGCTAAACCACCTTATCTCCTCCGACCAATGGCGAAAGCGAGCTCACTATTATATGTTTTCATGCAGCCGCTGCACCGATCAATACTTGCAATTCGAGCACACCGTGTTGCCCTTTGAACCCTGAAAGCACTCCCCTTTTAACCCGTCATGAATGTGCCAGTATTTGTGCGAAAAACAGAACCTATTAGATAGCCGGGTTGGGCTTTTTTTCAAATGCAAATCAGTCGGTGCACCGATGCCTGCTTGCACCACTACTACTGTCCACCGACATTTGCATTTCGTTGCGTGAATATATTTAGAACAGGTATAAGACAGGGGCTTGTAATTCAAGGTTATTTGTTGAGAAATGCTTCTTCGTTTTTCTTCTTCTAAGGTGACTTGGATTTGCTTCATCTTAAAAATAAACGTGGCTTATTTTTGGTCGCGTCGTACACCGCAGTTACATTAAAACAACAGATCTCTCTAGACTTATCTTTGAATAGGTAGGTACCTAAAAACCATTGGGCATGCATTCCTGTTCAACGATTCACCGAGTGGTTTACATAACTAGAAGCCTCAAAGATGAACTAATAAGTTAACTTCCTCTCACATGGATTGACAGTTTTTAAGCGTATAACTTTTCACTGTTGTTCGATTATGTTGAATAATTTGAGGATTACTCAATGACATTTGGATTTCTCAACATATTCGAACATAATCTTAGGAAAAATAGCCTAATGATGCGTTGTCCGCTTGCGATAGCTTTGCGTTCTTCCATGATTGAATTTCTATTTCTACCACTTCATGGAATGTCAAAGTCCAGTGATGTTATCATATGGATATTGGATTACTTTGGCACTCGAGCTTTATAGGTTGGAGGATGCGTAAGTGTGGCCATTCAGATCACATGGTTTAAATTTTGTGATTTTCCAGTTTATTCCATGCTGAACATTTTAGGAAAGTTTGACAAAAGAATAAAAGTGGAATTTGCGCATATCAATAGGTACAAAATACAAAATGATGAATTTGCGGAAAATTGACCAAAATATACAGAATGTTCCATTCCAAAGTCGAAAGGTATTGAGCATGTTTCACCCTCTATAGCTTTTTAATTTTGAACACCATTTGGACATCTTCAGGTTATCATTATCAAACATAAACCATACGAAAATTGAATATAATCTCATTAGTTGAGAGCGAAGGAGAACAGAGTAGAGAAGTATTTCTAAACCTCAGAAAACCTGACATTTTCTTATTTATTTTTTTGTGTTAAATTTTTTGATCAGGCGGTCACTAGTAGAAGTAGTAGGTGTACTTCTACTGTTGCTGGGAACGAAGGAGAAAGTAGATTTCTGGTGAGCGATACTGACAATAATGAAGAACATTTAAAATGTTTGAATCTTAATTTATAATATGCAGGTAATGAACGTGAGTTTTGTTGAAAAAAAAATATCGTATCAAAATGGCAGAAGAAAAAAAAAGGAGAGGATACGCTCTAAAACAAGGAAATTTATGAGAGAAAGTAGGTTTCTAAAAAACGAAATGCAATAGAATGGATTCTTTATGGAATCTCAAAGAACACATAAAGAAAAATAAGCAAGGATAGGAAGTCATAGTAAAGAACAAAGCCTGAAGATTGATGAGGTGTTTTTATTGGGGCTTTATCAAAGCCTGAAGACCTACGTATGTACCTATTAAAAATGGAAATGGAATAGAAGAAGTGGAGAAGAACATAAACTCTCCATTTGTGGAAAGCTATCCTCACCTATAATCAAAAAAAGACTAACCAATAACCAACTTAAAAAAGAAAATGTCAGTTCCAAAGATAAGCTTTTTATTGACATAATGAGCATTTTTGGTGAATCCTCTAGACAAAATCAAGAAGTGCAATTTCAAGAGGCACCGCCTCAAGGTAGAGATTTTTTCAATGTGTGGATAGGGATACTGAGTAATTTATTATTGGTGACTTCTTAACGTCTCCAAAATAAGATTCAATTAACAATAATCTATAATGGAGTCATCGAGGGATGAACCATGTAACGATATTATTGACGTTTTGACAAGATAAAATTTCTGATAGAGTAATTGAAACAGCGATTTTAAAGTTAAACAAGTTACGCCAAAAATGAATAACCGTTTCTATACCGTTGGGATATGAAATGGTTAATTGATTTGTTATCGTTTTATTTATCATTTTATGATTGTTTTTTCAATTACCTACGGTATGAAATAAACTCATTTAGATTATAAGGTGACGTGATGTTTGAATTGAAATTGGCACGTGATTAAGTTAATTAAATTGTAGTTATAATTTGGCTTGAGGATGCACATTTGTGAAAAAGATTTTCGAATGATGTGTATTTTCAAATATTAAAACCACGTGTCTTTGCCAACACAGACGGCATATTGAGATTTTCATGAGGTTAGAATACGGGTCGGTACATGTCAGATCGTCGTAAGGTAAGGGCTGAGTTGAGAAACCAAGAGTACATAGAAGAAACTGTTTGACAATTGTCACGTGTTTAAGGGCCGTTTCCATCAACTATATTAGGAAATCGTTACCGATAAGTATTCCTCAAACTGACATTTATCCATGGAAGACTGTCATTTTGAGGAATACTTAACCCTAAAATAGTTGGTGGAAACAGGTATTAGAGGCGAATTTTATAGTCGTTTCTTGAGTCTTCCTTTGTCGTGAGGTTAGAATTGACCCTTGCTACTTTTTGACAAGTTAGTTATGTCAATTTTTACCGTTCAAGGCTTCCTCAAGGTCCGAGGAAACCTGAAGGTGCGACTATGAATTCGGCCCTAGTCACGTGCAAAAAAACCTGTCGCATTCGCGATGTCGTTTCCGAACTAGCTCAGCGTATTCATAATCCCGTCATAGGAAAACAGATTTAAAGCCTGTCTCAAAATTTAAAAAATATAAAAACCCCCGTTATGTATGCATGTATGATATGGAATTTAATACGATACGATACCGACCAGGGTAACTCGATTAGATTATACGAACCAGTTATTTAGGTTATTGAATTAGTAACCCTGCCTGAATATTTATAGTTAATAAGTTAGGTACTAAACTAGAACATAAACCATGCCTGCCGTTTATTAATATGAAATTTGGGCTATTTGAGAATGAATTTAACATGAAGTACAGGGTGATCTATTATAAATGTCACCCCCTGCTAACTTTTTCATTTGACGTTTCTGACAGAAGTGTCAAATACAAAAGTTTTGAGAAATTAACAAAAGTTTTTAACTAAGTCAGTTTTAGGCATACAAGCTTTTGACCCCGTCGGTCACCAGTTGACAGATGAACAATGAATCAAACGTCATTTATCTGCCCAATAGGTGACATTATACGTACCAAATTTATACTCGTTCCTTGAGGCTTCCTTGGAGGTCGTTTATAGTTTAGAATGGACAAATTGTTACTATTTGACAAGGTTATCATGTCAATTCTAAACGTCCAAGGTTTTCTTAAGGTACGGTTTGTTAGGAGAGTACGCGACGCACAACTGACAACGTAAACGTCGCCATTGGTTCAGGTATGACGTACACCCGTTACCTGACGCTGACGTCAGAAAACGGGTGTACGTCATACCTGAACCAATGGCGACGTTTACGTTGTCAGTTGTGCGTCGCGTACTCTCCTAACAAACCGTACCTTTAAGGTTCGAGGAAACCTCAAGGACCGATTATATAAGGACCGAATTTATAATAAAAAATAATAATAATAATATAATCTTCCTTGGAGTCGCGAGTTTGGAATAGACACTTGCTACTATATGACAAGTCAGTCATGTGAATTATAAACGTTCAATTCGACTCTAAATGCATAGTTTATCTGTCAATGTTATTTAACCGGTCAATCGCTCGTAAGCTATATTTTGGCGGATTAGTAAACTCGGAATAATTTGACATAGTAGGCCATGAAATATGCAAACCAATTTCAATTGAGGAAACCGGCCTAGAAATGTGAAAAGACGTTTTTGTTGTCACATGCTATAAATTTAGTAAAAGAAAAAAGAAACTATTTTTCCTTATCGCTTAGTACCGACACCCTGAATATAGGGTTGTACGTTTGGAATGGTGGTGTGTACCCAGGGGTACCAATGGGACGCTACCTGAGATGCCTGTACGAATTAGACAAGCGTTAAGAAACAGTAGTTATCTCTTTTTACTCTACTTCCTTGATATCATGTGACAAGAAAAACGTACGTCTTTCACATTTCTAGGGCGGTTTTCTTAACTGTGATTGGTTTGCATATTTTATTGCCTATTATGCCAAATCTTTCCGACTCTATTTTAGTAGAACTGTCATTCGCGGACAAGACATGACGTCAGTCTTTAAGCAGCTTGAAGATATTTTGAGCGCCCTCAAAAACACGCAACAAAAATCTTGAGCGAGAGAGTGAGGATTGACAGTATATTGAAAATGGAAAAATGGTGATAATTTGTCAATTGTTTACGTTTTTGTGATCGTTTAATGCCCATTATGTATAATATATTTATAATTTTCTAACGTAATTTTAAATAAATATTTCTCGAAATATTTTGACTAATGTAAACAAATGTGACAGATGACATGCAGTTATCGCGTAAAACAAGCTATTTTTGCGTTTAGGATAATTGATGATGTCAAACTTCAAAATACTTAAAATGTCTACAGATACTTATGCCATGTTTTGAGAAGTCTGGCTTACAAAAATATGACTGTGAACTAGCTACTGTTAATTCATCATTTTATTTATAACAAATATGATGTTATGTTCATTACATTTCCTCTCTCTAACAAATTCCACCATCTGTTTGGTTTAGTCCCTCATCAATTAGGTAATTTATAACTTATTGCTTTTTAGGTTTTAAAGATGTGCCGGCTGAAATTATTATTACTACCAATGTCTTGTAAACGCACCAATATCGCAACAAGATGTTTCCATATATGTCGGTTCTCGGTACCTCTATTGCAGGAACCCAAATTATTGTAAATACATATAAATATATATAACCGATGAAGGGTGTTCTTGCTGCCAAAGATAGAGTAGGTACTTTTCCCAGATCTAATTTCATTATTCCAGATGGTGAGAATTGCCCTTATAGGTTACTTTTCAGTTTTTAGAATTGGAGTTGGTTTTGTAAGATCGGTCGCGAAAGTCGGGTTGTAGCAGTTGCACTTCTGTAAAATCAGTTCCGTTCAGAATTAAAATAAACGACACGAATTTTCTTATTAAAATACCGGATAATAGGTACAAGGCCTAGAAATAATCCAAGATTGGAGCCAGCGGAAAACTTCGAACTCTTAACATAAGTGGCATAGATCATTATTCCTTTATCCTAGAGATCCCTGGTTATTTCCAATAGACGCCCGACCGTAATTTTGAAGATTTAGCCAGACCAAGAAAAAATAAAACCGAAAATTGCAATTCAATTATCCAAATATTTCGGTAAGTATTCGGAATTTTTCAAATTCTGCCATTTTATGGAGCAACTATAGATGCTCAATAATTTAATCGACCTTTTGTATCTCACAGTTTCCGAGATCTGATTTTGATAAGGGATAAGGCTCAAATTTAGACCACATTAAAATTATAAATAAAATAATTAGATTTGAAATTTTAAGGCCCTGTATACCTATAGGATTTTTTCCGTCATGCTTGGAACTTGTTTTTTTTTTTACAGTAGAACCACCCTCACCCTCTTTCACATCATAATTTTGGTGGGACACCCTGTATATTGCACTTAAATCAGATAATTCTAATAATATTTAGCTCATTACGATTATACCTATATGACAAGGAAGATAATTTATTATTCCTATCTATATTTCAAATATTAGCGATAAGAATAATAACAAACAATTAATTATGATAATGAATCGAGCGAGCCCCTTATTAATAGCTTTAATACCCCAGCAACAGAATAATTTATAACTTGTTTTGCACTACTTGCACTTGCATCACGTTGCAAAAAAAACGTCATTTAAATGTTCCCGCGTAAATTGCATGACAACCGGCCAAAAAAAATTGGCAACGTCGCGAAACCGGCTTCAAAATAGTGAATAGAAAAAAAAAACAAATTATAGTATCAGTCATCGCTTAGTCTATCGTATACTATTATTCCAATAATATTTTGGCAACAAGTAGTGACGTCATAGTACCGTTTCACAAATTCGGCACAATTTTTTTTTTTTCGCCACACACAAGGAAAAGAAGGCGTGTGTGTGTGTGTGTGTTGATAGATCGCGAAACGATACCGGCACCTATTTTGAAAATTAGGCGTCGGGAGCGGCAAAAAATTGATTCAGATACTCACCAGAGGCGCCGAATTATGGCAGATTATCGTTAAACAAACTAAAAACGCCTAAAAAACGTAAAAAAATATACGAAATTTTAAAATGGCCGCCCGTATAATAATGGCAAACGAAAGCGGCAGCGCGTGAGAACCGGACGAGTGATGCGAACCGCGCAATTTTATAGCCTCTATACGAGGCACGATAACTTAGGTCGGGTTCACGTTTCGCGACTCGTTTTTGCAATATGCATTTTTCGCAATATTTATTTCTAAATGCGTTTGGGTCATACCTTCTATCTACTCTCCTTGTATATAAAACTTTGCGATATTTGTTTGCAATGGAAAATTTTTGCGGTTGTTTTCATGTTTCATTCCTATCAAGATTATTTTTGGTTATTATTGCATAAGATATTCCAAGCGCGCATTGGTTTCAACAATGTGTAGGTAAATAGAATAAATTCAACTGCGTTTCTTGATTTGGAAAAGTGCCACACACGGTAATTCGCCTGATAGGTATTATTAAAATCGAGTGCGCTTTTTTAAATTCGGCATCTAATCTAATTCCAGCCAGGGTCGTTATTATCTTAAAACTTACCACTCACTTTTTAATAAAAGTCAGATGCAAACACTTATGATTACACATTAACAAACACAACAAACATTATTTAAATAACTAAAAATTATAACACTAACAACTAAATAGGTACTGCTTAACATTTAACTTGTAAAAAAAAACAAACAATCCTTAAGTAGGCACTGCTAACTGAAGAAAAAAATTTCGAAAACTTTTTCGTAGTCCGAAAGCGCGTTGCACAGTTTTTTTAGTTCCAAAGTGATGAACAAAATATCCAAAACACTGAACGTTCGGCGGTATTAGACGAGCCTGAAGTAATCGGAAAATTTTCGAAAAACCAAAAAAGGGTTAGCGAATTTTGGTTTTGAAATTTGAAAAAAAAAAGGGGGGTGTTGACGCTGTTCTACCGGCTCCCGCGGCGTGTGTAGTAATGCAATTGATGCAGCGCCCGTTGTCTTGCAGCCCGTCTAGTCTGGGCAAGCGAACTTGCATTCGGGCAGGCCTCGCGAATCTGCGCAGACGCCATATATACCGAGGGTCGCGAATAAAACTTTTGCCTACTATACGAGAACCGAGCCGGATATTTTTCGCAAATTGCTTTACGAGCTTGTTAAAATGAATATATAATATACTCGTTTGTTCACTTGTGTACTTCGATACTTGGATATGAGCCGTAAGATACGTACAGCCGGTAATCTAAAAGAAGGGATATTTTTCACGATTGACGTTTGAAGTTCGCTCAACTTTCATTTGAATACATCTTCGACTTTTATGTGTGAAGTACTAGTTCCTTTGTGTGTTACCATTACTAGGCCAAACTCTGAGGCCTAATACTCCTTTTAATCGCAGACTATACAATGAAATCCCCGCTAATGTGTATCTTCTGTGTGTTGATGTAGGAACATCTTAAAAAATTCAACTAGTATTTTAGTCGATTATCCATAAAAAGCCCCGACCTTATTATTCCTATGCCTGTACAAATGAATAGTTTCTTTGAACTGAACATTCATGAATGTACGAAGGCGTAGAAGTACTACAAAAAATAACTCACTTCGACTTTGAAGGAATATTCGCACTTACGCTGCATCAAATTTCACTGCCGCAAAGTGCTGCTTCAAAAAATAAACATGTGTTTTTCCAAGCGGTCTATAATTTGAACGTTATTATCATCAATCTTGATCTGGAAAAAATCCATTAAGTACCTAGGACGATAATTGTCGCGTTGAAGGAAGCTGCAGTGCAGTGCAGTGAAAGTTGGTGCAGTGGGAATACTCCTTAAGAAGTAGGTATTCTCACTTAAGCTCCACCAAGCGCGTCACTGCACTGCACTGTGACTTGCTTCAACGAGGCGATTTTTTTTCCATACTTAATAGCCTAGTGACTTGAGGGTTTTATACTGCGGTTTTTGAGTAAAAGCAAATCATTTTCACAAGTGAAAGAACATGTCAGAATTAGTAGATTTTTGAACAGACCCATCTCAAAAAGTCATGCCGACCCAGTTTTTATTATTTTTCTGAAAAACTGTAAAAGATAGATGAAACGTCATTCGATAGAGCACAAAATTCTACATAATGGCTATGACTTTATTTTTGTTTATGTTTTCAAGGTAAGGCCCCACAAGAACAAAAAATGTGGTGGAGGATAATCAAAAAGACACTTGTTGATCAATATCATTAAAACCGCTTGAAAACAGAAAAAAATAGAAGAAATAAAAAATTAAGAATAAAGTTTTCTCTATCGATTGGTGCATACCTTTTGTTTCTTATCTTTTAAAATAAAGCCACCAGTGGCGTCCAAGAAAGTAGTGGAGTAAGAGGAATGATTAAAAACAAATATTTTTGGTTATGTGTATTTTAAATTTTTCAAAAAGCATTTGTATTTTGGGCCAAAAGTTCTGCATTTACATTTTAATAAAATGTCGGATGATATTAGAGAGTTCTCGTGCTGTCCAAATTTCAAATACCGTAACGTTATTTGACAAGTATGACAGGTCTTACAGTATTAGCGTTAGCGGAGCCCGCTACCTAACAGTAGTTAATTCCTCCATAAAAACACCAAGTCCCCTTGGTGTTATTAATGAAACAGGAATTTTCAGCATAAATAAAATTTGGGAAGCAAGCAAAAAAAAGTTGGGTGATCACTCAATTCAGCTGTCAAAATGTAAACAGAATAAGGGATTAGAGGATTTTTGTTTCTTCGTGTCTGAGAGCTATAAAATACCATTTAAAATACCGTAATGTTAGCGGTACCGTATTAACGTAGCGTCTGAGGCACGAGAACTTTCTATTTTTTCATTTTTCTTATTGGTCCATAGTGGCGTCGATTTATTGTTTTCAAGAATCCATCCCCATTTAGATGGGCATGGAAGTTCTAGCATGGTTGACACAGATTACCCCAACAAATCCTGCTTGAAAAATACATCGCTTGATATGCTGTTCCAATGCATTCATTGTTGGGGGTAAATTCTTAACGGTTCGGTTTTTTTGAGCAAAAAGTTGCATTCGACAAACGTCAATATCGCTGATTTCAGAATGTTCGTACACTATGATAACGAATTTTGAAATAATATTGAGTTGTTTCGATGTAAGTTCTTTTGGATGCAGGACTAAACACTAAACCAATAAATATAGGTGTAACTCAAGGAGAATACACACTCTAAGGTGTGCTTATCGGCCTCGTTTTAGTCGTTTTTGGTAATCGCCGCCATATTGGTGTGATACCATTTCCGACGTCATAACTAAGTCGTCAACTGTTTAAACAGTCTACGTCAAGGCGAGAAATAACATACTGCCTACGTCACAAATGGTATTTTGGCGTGGGGGGATGGAGGGGATTTGTTACACACAGACCTTATAAGGATAGGCCATTCTGTAGTAAAATCTGTTTTTTTTTTAAGATAAAAGTCAAAATGACATTATGTTGGTTATACAACTGACTGTACATTATTCCCATATGACACGAGAGGCTTAATAAGTGATAAGCCTTTTGGGATTATCGCGCTTGGTGGCAATAATATTGTTCATTTGCTATTAATAATAATAAAAATTAATAAAGTATTAAAGTTTAGTTCGTTCTATAACCTTTTGAATACCACTCTATGTTTCAGGATTACCTAATACTTTTACCTGATACTCAACGCGTTACCAGCAACACCACTCCTCCTTCGGAGTCGTGGTGCATGAGTGCAAATTTGTCGAAAATTATAAATATATTTCCATTGCACGAGTTGTATTTAATGAGAGAATTTTATAAATCAAAAATTTAAATATGTCAAAACACCAGTTTTCGCACGAGTTAGTATGCAATTATCTGATAATTTGCATTAGTGCAAATTATCGCGTAATTACAATCTGATTGGTTCAAATCAACAATCAAAACATGTCAATTTATTGTTGGAATACCAGTTTTGACAGATGTATGAAATTCTCTTTAAAAAAAAACAGACTTAAGTAGTGTGTATCATCCTTGGGTGTAACCTCCGCAAAGGTTTCCCAAGCTTCCCAAAACTTCTTTTTTCCTTCTCCAAAAAAAGAAGAGGTGATGTCGCAATCGGTCAATAAGTGAAAAAAAAAAAGGGGGAGCTAGACTTTTTCATTAGTTTTATTAGCAACTTCCATCAACATCAAGAAATATACATACATACCTTAGGTTCCTACCAATGTCAAACTCAATCCATACGTAGGTAGAATCCTAAGGTATAGTATATTTCTTGTATGGAAGTTGCTAATAAAATTAATGAAAAAAGTTTGGCTCTATTTTTTTTTCACTCATTGACCGGTTGCGACACCACCTCTTCTTTTTTTGGAAAACGAAAAAAGAAGTCCTGGGAAGCTTGGGAAACTTTTGCGGAGGTTACACCTACGTTCATTGGTTTAGTGCTGCATCCAAAAGAACTTACGTCAGAACAACTCAATTTTATTTCAAAATTCGTTATCATAGTCTATGAAAAACATTCTGAAACCAACTATATTGACGTCTGTCGAATGCAACTTTTTGCTCAAAAAAACCGTACCGTTGAGAATTTACCCCCAACAATGAATGCATTGGAACAGCATATCAAGCGATGTATTTTTCAAGTAGGATTTGTTGGGGTAATCTGTGCCAACCATGGTAAAACTTCCATTGCCATCTAAATGGGGATGGATTCTTGAAAACAATAAATCGACGCCACTATGGACCACTAAGAAAAATGAAAAAATATCATCCGACATTGTATTAAAATGTAAATGCAGAACTTTTGGCCCAAAATGCAAATGCTTTTTGAAAAATTTTAAATGCACATAACCAAAAATATTTATTTTTAATAATTCCTCTTAGTCCACTACCTTCTTGTACTTACACTGGTGGCTTTATTTTAGAAGGTAGGAAACAAAAGTTATGCACCAATCGATAGAGAAAACTTTATTGTAAATTTTTTGTATCTTCTATTTTTTTCTATTTTCAAGCGGTTTTAATGATATTGATCAACAAGTGTCCTTGTGATTATCCCCACCACATTTTTGTTCTTGCGGGTCTTTACCTTGAAAATAGCCATTATGCAGAATTTTGTGCTCTATCGAATGGCACCAAAAT